TAAATCCTAAAATTTTCATATTTATGGGTTATATTTGCATATTTATAAGCAAACTGAATTGCCTCAATTCTGATTCCAATTCTATTTTTTGTGTTGGTTTCGGTAAACAATTCCAATTCCAAATCAATAAAATAGGAAAAGAGTGAGATGAAAGAAACTTATACGCATAAATCGAGGTGACCTAATTTAGCTAACCATTGTAATTACCCACACTCCAGGCCCTAGCTTTGTGCTTCTCTTCCATCCTTTTTTTTTAGATGCAATTTTTTTTTTAGATGCAATTCTCTTCCATCCTTCACCTACCCCTTCCCTCATTTTCTCAGTCCCTTCCCTAATTTTTTTCGTAAATTATGAACATTATAATTTATTCTAAATTTCATATTTTATATTAATACATTTATTATCTTATCTGTTTTTATGCAATTTCTCACTCGGTCTAAATAATATATAAATAAATTTTTCTTTGCTAAGCACAGGTTATTAAATTTGGGTATCTCTCCAAACGACGATTCAAATTTTAGTTCATCACATTGTAAGGGACTAACATGTTTTATTAGAGTAGACTAGACTCTTCCACACTGTTGTGAATAAATTACCTTGATCATGCCTAAGGCGTGCTTATTGTGAAACATTTTCTTGCTTCTACAATTCTTTTGTATAATAATTTAGTAAAAGAAAATGTAATTTAAAAAAAAATGGCATGCATCTATTTCGTTTTCTTTTTGGTTCATTCTCCGTTTTCTGTTCTAAAATACTTTACGTACTAAATATTGCCTTACGTTTTGTTGTAGTTGTAGTTAGTTGCATTTATAAATATAGTATGCTTTTTAATTTTTTTGCAAGATATGTAGCATGCAAGTTGAAATGCAGAATTTTTATTTTCCGGCCAACGAGTTGAAATGTAGATTGTAGATGATAAAAGAAATTTTTTAAACAGAATAACATATTATGTCGCTTTAGGAGATTTTAATTTACGTCTCTCTTAAATTTTCCCCACTAAATAGGGCCGCCGAAAGAAAATAGCCAGAAAAAGTGAAGAACATAAATCACACCTGCCTTCAAATTTTCTAAATTTTAATACATGTAATAAAAAGAGGTTTTTTTTGGGGCCAACAACAAAATCAAAATTGATTTAAGAAAACAAAAAAAGGGTAAAAATTTCTAATAAGATACTACTTCCGATCCTAATTATAAGAACTAGTTGACTAATTTAAAGAAATTAAGAAAAAAAATTAAGTTAGTTATTTGTAATAAATATCTGTTGTTTTTCCTAAAATATCCTTGCTAATCAAGTGTATTGGCTAAAACTACTATTGTTAGAAAGACTACTTTGAAAAAAAAAATATAAATATAAGAGACAAAATAGATTGGGATCTTATATTTAGGATTAAAATAAAATTTAAATAAGGTCTTATATTAAGTAACGGAGGTAGTATGTTTGATTGATTTTAACAAACAAAACGATGAAAGCTTCTTCACCATACTCAAATAATATAAAAATTGATTTGGCCATATATTAGGATTAAAGTTGAATTTTGTTCTTTGTGTCGTCAAACTTCTTCTTATTTTTGAAGTGCCCAAAAAATGGTCCCAAATATTCACATGAACTTTAAGATAATGTGTGTGTACATATATATAGTTCAGATATAAATGACAAAGGGTAATTTCCCAAAATGTTCAACAGAAATATTTACCCAAAATTAATAAAAAAATTTAAAATACTTTTTTTGTCAGGGCCTCTATATTGGAAAAAAATGAAATTATTCTGATAAAAAATAAATTTTAATTCATATATGTTGTTAAATTTTTAATGCTAAATTGTCAATTAATTATTTTTTAATAATTTATTAAATAATATAGGGATAATAGTTAGAGAAATGCCAGGAATGAAATGCAGGAAAATACAAAGACGGTGGACCGAGGATTACTTGTCAAGTGGATGCGAGTCTCTCCCAATAGTCAATACTCAGACTCATTAATTTCATGACACTTGGATCGGATCCAGACATCACCCTCTTTGTAAATCACGAAGCTACTGCCAAACATTGATCCAACGATCAAAAATACGGTCACACACATCTAACCATGAGCCTCCCAACATACTATCATTCCCTCCATTACGTTGGGCACATGTCAATATATAATGGTTACCACACTTGGCTGAACATCCCCGACGTAATGAATCATTGAATACAAAAAAAGAAAAACAAAAAACTTTTACGATAGGTGAATTCTTTGTTGGGAAAATGACAATAAAATACCACCTGAATTTCAAAAAGACAAATAAGGCACCTGAATAAGCAAAATGACATATAGGGGACTGGGTACCAATCTGGAATTCAGATTTTTGGCCAAAAGACCAAAATGCCCTGTCTGAAGTGAGAGGAAGGAGAGAGGAAGACACTGATGAAATACGGGAAGGAGAGAGAAGGAAGACACTGATGAAATCGGGAAGAGAGGAAGGAGAGAGGAAGACGCTGATTTTCGATGGGTTCCCACAGCTTAAAATTTGGTTCTGTCTCTGTTCTTCGCATAAAACCATTTTCAGAGAATGTGAAGCTGTGGAAAAGATGAACCTGTGGGAAAGATGAAGCGAAAATCAGAAAACAATGGCAAGCAATTACGTAACGTAACTGCTGTCATATGCCTGCTGGTTTTTGGTAAATCTCATTACGTGAATGGTAAATTTCACTATACATGTAGTTAATTATGAATTTTACAAAATACATATTGTGATTTACAACTTTTGTAGTGAAAGTGACTACTTTGTTAATGGGTTTTGCAACCTGTTTTCAAGAGATAAACAACTTGTTTGTAAAAACTAATAAAATTTCACGCTAAATTTGACAAAACGTATAGTGGGATTTACAACTTCCATAGTAAAAATGACCACTTATTCAATGGGTTTTGCAACTTGTTTTCAGGGGATGGGTAACTTGTTTCTAAAAAACTAATAAATTTCATACTAAATTTGACAAAACACATAGTGAGATTTACAACTTTCGTAGTGAAAATGATCACTTCTTCAATAGGTTTTGTAACATGTTTTCAAGGGATTGGCAACTTGTTTCTAAAAACCAATAAAATTCTATGCTGAATTTTACAAAACATAGAGTAATATTTACAACTTTTGTAATGAAAATTACCACTTCTTAAATGAATTTTGCAACTTCTTTTCAGGGGATGAGCAACTTGTTTATAAAAATCAATAAAATTTCACGCTGAATTTGACAAAACACATAGTGAGATTTACAACTTTCATAGTGAAAATGATCACTTCTTCAATGGGTTTTGCAACATGTTTTCAAGGGATTGGCAACTTGTTTATAAAAACCAATAAAATTATATGCTGAATTTTACAAAACATGTAGTGAGATTTACAACTTTCTTAGTGAAAATGATCACTTCTTAAATGGGTTTTGCAACCTCTTTTCAGGGGATGAGCAACTTGTTTCTAAAAACCAATAAAATTTCACACTGAATTTTACAAAACACACAGTGAGATTTACAACTTTTATAGTGAAAGTGACCACTTCTTCAATGGGTTTTGTAAACCTGTTTTCACCGGAAGAGCAACTTGTAAGCATAAATAAATCATTCAGTGAACGTGCACCTGAAGTACATCACAATAAACATTGAACTATTAAGTTTCATAATTAACTACATGTATATTAAAATTTACCATTCACGGAATGGGATTTACCATTCACGGAATGGGATTTACCAAAAACCAGCAAACATATGACAGCAATTACATTACGTAATTGCTTGCGACTATTTTCTGATTTCTGCTTCATCATTCACCAAATACTGAATACGAACCCTCAAATGCAATAATCCTGTTCCTATTTCACCATGAAACAGCCACAAAAATGAATAATCCAAATCCCGCCATCAACTTCTACTCACTCATGAATAATTCAAATACTTCAGCGACCTCTTCGACGACGACAATTTCAGGGGGTACAAGTTATTTCAGACAGGGCAATGTATTTCAGCGATGGTAACCAAATTCAACGATGGCAATCTACTCCTACGACGACGGCAACGTGATTTCGAAAAATCCTTTTTGGTGACTGCAGGAACTTGGATTTAGTTTCGTAGAAGGAAATCAGTTTCTCCCTTTCTCTATCGCACGAATACACTGCTCAATGTTCAGAGACAATCAGAGCAATTTGGTCTTTTGGCCGAAAATCTATATTCCAAATTGGTACCCAGTACCCTATTTGTCATTTTGCTTATTCAGGTCCCTTATTTGTCTTTTTGGAATTCAGGTGGTATTTTATTGTCATTTTCCCTTCTTTGTTTGTGTTGCCTGTTACTTCACTTATACGAGGGAAATCATTTAGTATTTATGGTTTTTCATCATTTTTAATTTGGTATATGTATATTTTTTTAATTAAATATTGTAATTTTAACTTTTACACATGATTAACAATATTAACAAAATAAAATTACAGTATTTAATTAAAAATAAAATGTATATAATTATCAAACTAAAAATTAAGAAAAAATTATAGATACTTGTAAAATGATTTTTCTGACTATTTATTATCTTTGATTTTCTATATATAATTTATTTTTATACTATAAATTGTATTACATTTATATTAAAAATAAGATGCAATATAAGTTCTGAATAAGATGACTTTCAAGTCTTATCATCTACTTTTTATGTCAATTTTTTAAAATCTGTTTCTAAAAGATTAATGTATATCATATTTTGACTCATATATTTAATAATGATTCCAACGTTTAAAATGAAATGGATTTGTTCATATTTACTTCTCAATTTTCTATTCGATTGCTTAATGTTAAAAAATTGCCCAGGGAAAAAAGTAAGAAAACGGCGTAATTTTTTTAATTAATTATTAGGAATAAATAAATAAATTATCTTGCAACTGTATTAAAGAGGGCCCCACAGATTTTGACGTCCATGGCACTTTGGTAATAAGAGGGGGAAAGGACGCAAACTGGCACCCTTTTTATTGTTGGGAGAGAGGCGAGAAGGAACCACCATTCTCATCTTTTCCCATTTCTGATCTCTCCTGTCTCTCCAGGAAGCTTCAATCACAAAGCAAGGCAAAGAAGGAGAGAGAGGAAGGGAGAGACAGAAAAACAAAGGGTGAAGAGAATTCTGCGAGCTTATAAAGGCCCTGTCTTTGCTCATTCTCTTGTATTTTAGTCTCCTCTCGGTTCTTCTTTCTCTCTGTACTATAGCAGCGTTCATAAGTACGACTCACATTTCTTCAGCGGCCATCATGATCTCTTCTAATAGCAGCAGCTTCCTGGTAAGTTGAACTGAGGATTTTGAAACATATTTCGTCTCTTTGATCTGAAGCTCAAGACTATTTGCTATCTTGCATTTCTGGGATTTGGCATTTCCTGTTGATTAATCAGAAATTGATTGTCTTCTCTTCTACTTTTAATATAACAAGAACCTAAAGTCGGTAAATGAAACCAATGTTTCTGGGTCCTCTCTTCAGCGATCAAGAACTAATTTTTGTCCTTTTTTATTTATATTAAGTGATTTGTCTATCTGTGTACTGAGAATTTGTCCTGTCACTGAGCAATTTCGATGCAGAGCAACACAGGAGTAGGTGGGTCTTGCAGTAACTTCTCTGATGCCCAGAGAAGATGTTCAGGTGCTCCGAGGATAGTATGTATGGCTCAAAGCAGCCGGTCAAATGACCGAAATGCCAGCGTGGCTGTGGAGACCAAGTTGAATGGAATTAAAGATGATTCTGTGGTGGTCGACGTGAACGGCAAACCTACCGTTGGCGGCGGCGTTCAGGACACGTATGGCGAAGATAGAGCCACAGAGGACCAGTTCGTTACGCCTTGGAGTCTCTCTGTTGCTAGGTCTCATATTGACTCATTTTGATAAATACCTATTATAGAACTCAATATATATGAATTTAGATAAAATCTAGACGAGTATGTGGTCGCTTCTGAATTCGGGTAATGGGTATTTGATTGAAAGGTCTTGATCTAACGAAAAGGGGGAAAAAACGATTTCTTTTTGGGTATAATTTTCTAGCAACTTGATTATTTTAATTTCTTCGAACTCAGTGATCTGTATATTCTGCTTTTTGTTTTGTCCATTATCTTATTTACATTTCGGGGTTCTGTTTCATGTTCTTTGATTGAAAGGTTTCATTGTTTTTTTATTTTAGTTCATTTGACAGGCATGCATCTCTACTGTACGACTTTATATCAAGCAGTTTTCTTATTTGGCCCCTCCTTTTCTGTTTGAGTGTTTGGATTGGTTTCTTTCTTTTGAGGCTGTTTCCTGTGATTTGTGTTGGTTGAACATGATGTCCTAGATATGATACCCTATGCTTAGTAGTGTCTTTTTTTTATTGGGCAGTGGATATACTTTGTTGCGAGATCCACACCACAACAAAGGGCTTGCCTTTACCGAGAAAGAGAGGGATGCCCACTACTTGCGTGGTCTTCTGCCTCCAACAACTATTTCTCAAGATACGCAGGTGATCAATGCATGGAAATACTTCTGAATGACTTCTGTTTATGTTTTCTTTATGACATCAGTTCAAACTGACTGTCATTTTATTGTTCAGGTGAAGAAAATGATCCGACATATACGTCAATATCAGGTTCCGTTGCAGAAGTACATGGCAATGATGGATCTTCAGGTGCACTTGTAAAAATAATTTAATAAAGCAATATTTTTGTCTGCTTCTGCACGTAAAAGTTTGTTCTTGTATCATCAGAAGGATTTTAATTTTTCTGTGAACTGCAATCTGACAAAATATGTAATTATGGATTTTGATGATAACTCCTGAAATCTCGCACTGAAACTTTAAATGGCTTTTGGCTGCGAGGACTGTTTTGCATATTGTGAGGAAAGTGTCTGCACATTAGATTTGTTATGGAATTGCGATCAAAGCTTCATATTTTATATTTGTTTCAGGAGCGAAATGAAAGGCTGTTTTACAAACTTCTTATTGACCATGTTGAGGAGTTACTTCCAGTTGTCTATACTCCAACTGTAGGAGAAGCTTGCCAGAAGTATGGTAGCATCTTTATGCGTCCTCAAGGCCTTTATATCAGTCTCAAAGAAAAGTAAGTTTGACTTAGATTACTTTTTTCCTGCTTAAGCGCTCTTTGTCAGCAATGTCCTGAGGAAAGTGTTTGCATAGTTAGAATACTTTCTCATTTGTTCCTGACGATAACTATTCCTTCTTTTGGGCCGTTAAAGGGGGAGGGTTCTTGAAGTTCTAAGGAATTGGCCTCAGAGGGACATTCAAGTGATTGTTGTAACTGATGGAGAGCGGATCTTGGGTCTCGGAGATCTTGGTTGTCAGGTAACTTCTACGATAGTAATTTACATATATAATTTATGATATAGGGAAGCATAAAATCTAATAACGTAACCTCTCTCAGGGAATGGGAATACCAGTGGGGAAACTTTCTTTATATACGGCACTTGGAGGAGTCCGTCCCTCCGCTGTAAGTATTTCATGTCCACTTGACTTGTTCGGTATTGATGAGGAATATATTGGTGAACTTGATTTGTCACGATTTATATTATTTGCTTGGGCAGCTTAAATTCGCGAGTGTTTATTATGATCCCAAGAGTGTCAGCATTTAATTGAGCTTTTCTTCTTGAGCTTATTTATACACACATATATATTTGTTATACATTTATTTTAATAACTATGATACCATCTTGTGTTCTGTTTGCCTCAGTGCCTGCCCATTACCATTGATGTGGGTACGAACAATGAAACCTTGTTAAATGACGAGTTATATATTGGGCTTAAGCAAAGACGAGCAACTGGACAGGTTCGTGATTCATTTATTCATTTTTAATCCAGAGCATTTAGGTTATCCATTTTTTTTCTTAGTATTCATATTGCTTCAACTTTTCTGCTTGCAGGAATATGCTGAACTTATCCATGAATTTATGACAGCTGTCAAGCAAAATTATGGGGAAAAGGTCCTCATCCAGGTACTAGGCCATGACCGAAGACATTATTTCTGTGGTCTCTTGGACTTCAAAACTTACTAAAAATTTCCTGAAACTGTTGTGCCTTTTGTTTCAGTTTGAAGACTTTGCAAACCACAATGCATTTGATCTACTTGAAAAATACAGTTCAACTCATCTTGTATTTAATGACGATATTCAGGTAAGAAATTCTTGTCTTGAGTAATGAATTTGGGCACTTCGATGATAATATCTCTTAATATATGATCTTTAATTCACTCCAGGGGACAGCATCAGTGGTCCTTGCTGGATTAGTTGCTTCTCTGAAAGTAGTTGGAGGAAATTTAGCTGACCACAGATTCTTATTCCTTGGTGCTGGAGAGGTATGTCCACATGATTATAAGATCATTTTTCTTTCTTATTTGGTTCTCAGAGATGGAAAGACAAGTTTAATAATTTTCCTGATCTCGAGGAGAAATTAAAGAGTATCATGTCTTCATGGCTGAGTTATATTGGCTGGTGATTGCAGGCTGGCACTGGAATAGCTGAACTCATAGCACTTGAAATTTCTAAACAGGTTGATGGTCACTTTTAGAATGCTGCCGTGGTTTGAGCATTGCATGTATTAATTTAGATTTGTTGAGCAATTGCCATTGATTATGCAGACAAATGCCCCACTTGAGGAAGTGCGCAAGAACATTTGGTTGGTTGACTCAAAGGTTGTTTATAACCCTCTCTGCAGCTTTGCCCCGTAAAGCTTAATTTTCATCTTCCGGCTGAATAATGTTCTGTTATACTGTTTCAGGGATTGATTGTTAGTTCCAGAAAAGATTCGCTCCAACATTTTAAGAAACCGTGGGCTCATGACCATGAGCCTGTTAAAAATCTATTAGATGCTGTGAATGTACGCCCAGCAATTCTTTCTCTACTCTTTCACTTGCTCACGCACGTGCTTGTGCACGCCTGAAAATGTACAGGAAGAAGGTTTGAATTCTTACATTTCCAATCTTATTGTCTCAGCAAATTAAGCCAACAGTGTTGATTGGAACATCTGGACGAGGGAAAACCTTCACGAAAGAGGTTGTTGAAGCTATGGCCACCATTAATAAGGTGTAGTTTCTTAATCAGTCCATTAATCTATTTTTTAGGGGTTTTTATTTCCGCTTAAGCTGGCTAACAATGTGCTTTGTATGATAATGATTGCAGAGACCCATTATATTTTCTCTTTCCAATCCAACATCTCAGTCAGAATGTACTGCTGAAGAAGCATATAAATGGAGCAAGGTAATTTGAAGATGCAGTTAGTATCTTTTCAGAAGAACCTTTTCTTCTTCTTATCAATTCGTATAATTAAAGGGAAAGACTTGAGTGAATTTCCTCGAACGTTTATTATTTGGTTCTCCTGTAAACAAAAAAGGTGGATGACGTCTCTTCAGCAATGCAATCATGTTATACTGTACAGTAAAAAAGATAACGACATTTGTCTATTAAAGATCTAAAACAAACACCATACTTCACCTTAAGTTTTTTTCTCATAATGACCATTATTGACTGCTCTTTTTTGGGTTCCTTATCCATGTGCTGTCAGGGGCGTGCTGTATTTGCTAGCGGGAGCCCATTTCCTCCTGTTGAGTACGAGGGAAAAGTGTTTGTGCCTGGCCAGGTCCTAAACTCTAGCCCTATCCTCTAGAGTATTTATTCGTGTACTACGTACTAAACATTGGCACAAGAAATTAGGACTAATTTGTGATCCTCCCTCCTCCATGTGTATCAGGCCAATAACGCTTACATCTTTCCTGGATTTGGTCTGGGCTTAATAATGTCTGGGACAATCCGAGTGCATGAAGACCTGCTCCTGGCAGCCTGTAAGTGCACAGGAAACTTGAACTGCCACAACTGATCCATAGCTTTAAGCATTCTAATTTTGAAACTCACAAGAATTCTTCCTCTATTTTAATCTCTCCTAGTCCTCGTTATGACTTTTGATTGTTTTCTGAAATGTAATATTTGCACCAACATTTTAATTGAAGAAACTCCATGAAAGTCTAAGTCAAATTCGAAAGCTGCTGACAGCTTTTTTCTCTTGCTTTTTGACAATTAAACTTGATTCTTTGGAATTCTCCTTAATTTTAGTTTGTTTGGTGAAACAAATTTAATGATTTACAATTTGCATTTGTTTCAACAGCGGAAGCCTTAGCTGCGCAAGTGACCCAAGAGAACTTTGACAAAGGGCTCATATTCCCACCCTTCTCTGACATCAGAAAGATTTCAGCACACATAGCTGCTAATGTTGCTGCCAAGGCTTATGAGCTCGGTGAGCCTCTTTTTTCTTCCCCAATTTTTCATTGCTAATTTGGAACTAACATCTCATGGCTCATGAAGCCTTCCTGTATTTAGATAATTAGATAATCGGTAATTGAATTTTCGTTTGTGTCAGGCCTGGCCACCCGCCTTCCTCAACCCAAAGATTTGGTGAAGCATGCTGAGAGCTGTATGTATTCCCCGCTATATCGTGGCTATCGGTAAAGCCACAACACATTAGGACTTCCTCATTTCTTGGTTTGATCATGAAATCATTATACTGTCATTTTTTGGTTTTTTTTTTTTTTTTTCCTTTTTTGACTCAGAAAATGCCCTAATTCATGTTCTGTTGGTACAAGTAATTGGGTGAGTCTTGGGTAAGTAACTAGTTGGGTGCTGGTAGTTGTAATTGGACTACAGTGAATTAGTCATAGCCTAAAAAATGTTGTGTAGTTGTACCATTACGTGTTCAAATTTGCAAAAATGAAGCACATCTCAAAGAGCCTTTTTAAGTATTTGTGTGATCATCCATTTGCAAGCCAGTCTGGTGTATAGCTTGATGGAGAAAACACCAAAGCCTGAATTTGGTTTGTATGAATAGTGAAGAGAAAGGGAGGAATACTAAAATCAGGAAGATTGTCATTTTGCGTTTTAATCGGAAGGCTAAGAACGCTAACAAGTCTTGTAACAGACTATCGATGACAAAGACTTGAGCATAAGCTGCATCTCTGTCTGCAAGATGCTACCTTGGGGGCCTGGGGGCTTCACGTTAATAATCAGCGGAAATATTTATATGATAAAAGAAGGATAATGGACAATACTGATAGTTATGTTAAGTTCCCAGTGTTTATTATGTCAAGGCTTTGAAGGACATGTTTTATTTTTAAGATATTATTAAATTATAAACTCATAAAAAAAAAAACTACACATGACGTAATAAATGTGAATGCGGGAATTGAGCTAAGTATTTTCCTTTATCAATTTCTTCTATCTTATTGAATGATTTTGAAGGAACCAAGCCTGAAATTTCTAAATAACTGAGTGTAAATTTAACCAGCATTGTTTATGAGAAGCTCCGCTCCATATCTGTTAGTTTTAACATTATTCCTCAGTTTTTATAGTTTTCAAAGAGAATTTTCTGAATCAAGCCAAAGAAGTACTAACTCCAGTTCTAATTATAAGGTCTTGATTATATCTTATAATTAGGACTGGAGGTAGTATTTTTTATATAAAAAGAAGTCTACTTAGTTCACTTACTGACTCATCTTCACTTGTAATTTTTAATCATGCTTCGAGAAAGGCTTTTAGAGGCTTTTTTTTTTTTTTTTTACCTAAATGCTACATATAGTTAAAAAAAAAACCAAAATGCTATAATTTCAAAAGTATTTACTGTTGTGCTATATTTAAAATTGTTCTTTAGGTGAACAGTTTTCAAAGTCGGTTTTCTGGTAAACGATTTTTTTTAGAATCAAGCATTAATGTATGTGAAGTAATCGTCCTTCTGGTGAATAATTTCAAAATTTCACCTGAAGAATGACTTATCACCTTCTCTCCAAATAAATAAAAATAGAATGATTAGTATAATGATTTAACAATCATTTGAAAGAAAAATCATGACTAAATAATTAAAGGAAAGTATTGATAATTACATAATAATATTAAAAATATTTGCTCTGGGTCCAGGTTCTCCAATGAAAATATGGAAGAGAGAGAAGCATGGGGGATCAATTAGTAGTGAAAAAATCAGACTCAACAGTGTGGAAGGAAATGGGCAAGATGTGGGAGCAGTTTACAGAAAACATAGAGATAGGAAGAACACGAAGTCAATGAGTAGAGGAGGAATACAGATGGAAAGTTACGAGTAATGGGAAATTTTCGACAACAAGTGCTTATAAATGGTTAAAAGGCATAAGGTCGAGTGGAGGAAGAAACCAATGGAGCCAGATATGGAAACTAAAAATACCAGAGAGGGTAAGAGTATTTATGTGGCGAGTCCTACATAAAAGAATACAAATGAAAGAGCTTACGGCCAAGTGGGACAGAGATCAAGGGTGGTGTCCAATTTGCAATAGGGGGATATAGACTACATTGCATACATTGAGAGACTGTCCTTATACAACCTTTATTTGGAAGCTATTAGTGCCTATTCAAGAAAGAATCAACTTCTTTGGAAATAATTGGACGAGATGGGTGCAGAAAAACATCCACCGTAAGGAGAACTTCACTGAGAAGATATTATGGGCTGCGTTATTCGCAGTGGGATGTTGGCAAATTTGGAAATGGAGAAACCAATGGGTACACAGTCAAAACTTCGAGCTACCCATCAAGCCGGAGAAGGTGATCAAAGGCTACCTGGAGAACTACCTTCACATATGGGGGGATGGTTTATGGGGAAAAAACGAGGCAAAGGACAAGGGAGTTAAATGGAGTTAACCAAAATTGGATGATGTAAACTTAACGCAGATGGTACTGGAACTACAAATGGCGACAATGGATATGGAGGAGAAATAAGGGAAGACTGCGGTGAATGGCTAGGAGGCTTCTCCTTACGACCAGAATGTAGTGCATTGAGGGACAAGCGAGAGGTATATTGGAAGGATTGGAAGTTTGCCGGCAAATGGGATTCAAGAAAATCGAAGTGGAATGTGATGCAGAAATGTTTGTGGAGGCAATCAAGAATAATAGAAATATTGAGGGAAACTACCACACCTTTTCTAGAATCCAGCAAATGCTATGCTTAGAGTGGCAAGTATAAATAACCCATGTTTACCGAGAAGGTAATCACTGCGCTGATAAAATGGCCTTGATGAGTTTGAATCAGAATGAAATAAAGATGAAATGGCAGTCACCTCCAGATGGAATGCTCCAGACACTGAAAGAAGACCTTGATGGTTTAGTAAGTTTTACAGTTAAGTTGTTCTAGTCGGTAGTAGTTTGTTTATTTTCTTTGTTCACCAAGAAAGAAAAAAACAAAAGAACAATGAAAGTGGATCAAATAAACCACAGAGAGGAAGAAGAAGAAAAGTGAACTTCTTCTCATTTTATGGCCACATCCATCCATGCAAATCAACAACGATTGCTCCCCGCGGACACATTTTCCTCCGTTCGTCCACTTTCAGCCAGCAATTTGCGGGTGCAGTGACCTGCGAGGTTGAGTTGAGGGGTCTGGCCATCCCCAAAGCTCGAAAGGAAGCTAAATAGTACGCAAGAGTATCTTCCAGTTGCACATGTCTCCGTAAGATTGCCTTCGTCAATAGTCTGCCCCCAGGAAACGGCAATGTCATCGGATGTGGAAGAGGAAATTAGGATGAGAAGTAGGAAAGGAAGGAGTAGAAGAAAAATCATGGTCATCTTGCTCGGGTCACTGGCCATAAGAGGAAGCAAAAAACTAAAGTTGAAGAAGTAGAATATATAAAAACAAGTACCTTTACTGTAGCTTCACGGGTTTGCATGGGGAGGATGAGTTGAGTTGACAAATAAGAGAAGTGAATATTTGCATTGGGAAGGAAATCGTAAAGGGATTCATATGTGGGAATATTGCACTCAAAAAATGAAATCATTCAGGTAAAGAATGATTTCACTTTTTATCAGATAACATATAAATCGTTCTTGACAAAAACAACTGTATGCAATTTGAAAATCGTTCTTATCAAGAACAATTTTAAGTATAACATACTGATAAATATTTTAAAATTATAGTATTTTGGTTTTTTTTATTGTGTATAACACATCAATTAAAAAAAAAAAAACCCCCTTTTAGATCTTGTAGTTGTAGGATCCAAAGTCGGACATGTGCGAGACATAAATTCCCATGATCCAAAGCTCTCTTCCTCTCTTGTTAGGATGGAGGAGAGGATATTATTGATTTGCTTCGGTTCTGTTATTCTTTAGTGAAAGAATATAAAATTAAAAACTAAAAATGAAGTGAATACAAATATTTTGTCCCAATGTGATGCCTGTGTAAAAACTTATTTACATCGATAATATATGTTAAAAAAAGTTAAAGTGTAAATTTATTTTAAAAGTTTTCACCCAAAAGTATAGAGTTTTTTTCAGAGCAAAATTTACACTAAAAACTTGTACCAAATTTTTTTTTAAATACCCAACACTCTTAAATGAAAACTTTTAAAGTAAATTTATACTTTAACCCTCTTCAAAAACTGATGTACAAATTCGAATGAAAAACAGTCCAAAAATAAGGGTAAATCACCATAAGATATTGACTTTAAAAACCTTTACAAATTTTCCTTAATTTTCTGTATTTGTCTACCTTATTTCTCGGTTTACTTTATGGGATTGTTAGGTACACACAATCATTTTCCGACAAGGCATTTATGTGTTGTCGTGGGCATTGACTAATGCTATTCCAAACACAAGATCGCCATTCTCTACATTCAGACAAAAGACCACAAACATCTGAAAAGAGTTTTAAAATGAGAAATCCATTTTTTCCTATACAAAAATGAGGCAGATTCTACAGTAGTTGAATATATATATATATATATATATATTTCAAGACAACCTCGGATGAAGCGACAATTACATTATGGAGCCTCCAGCAAACAGGTGCGTGAGAAGCACTGAATTTGCACGAGGGAGAACTTGAGACCGAATGAAAACACAGTAGTAGTCTTCCGAAGCAAAGATATAGAATGAAGCTCTAATTGCCATCTAGTGTTGTTAGGGCCTCATTAAGAAGTCTCCGTGCTTCCTCTCTCCGTCTGAAATAAATAGATACGATACATTTAAAAATTGTATTAGCAAAGATTAATGACATTAGTATACTTAGAAAACCGCTATAAGCAAGTACCTGCCAAGGTAAAACAAAGTTACTAGTCTATTAACCAACCCGTCTGCCTCCCCAGTAACAACAACAAAACCAAAAACCAGTTCTCTTAACTATAACGTGTTATTGACACACCCCCGCTCACCCCAAAAAAAAAAAAAAGAAGCTAATAATAACATGCTAGTGTACATCTTACGAGAATTGGACTAGGCCATGGGCCTCATATAGTTGAACCATATTCTGATAGCTAGAATAAGTTGACGACTATATATCTAGATGTATCAGTTCAGTTTAATCTCTAGTGAATATTCAGATCAGTCCGATATTTCGTATGCGCACGCACAGCATTTAAGGTGATCTATTTGCGAGTCAAGTCACAAGGGAGAGTAGCCTGCTTTTGGAAGAGCTTCCTCACATAGGAGAACGAAACAGATTATCCAGAATCCAGAATAAGCACCACAAGAACTACTGTTACGGGCTATCATTCTAATGCTAGCTTTAGTTGTCTCCTTAAGAAACGAAAAAAAAAAAAGTGTTGTTTTGGGACAGGAACAAGGAAATAAGCAGATGTCAAGACGCTTGTTTTAAAAATAATTCAAATCAAACTTACAGACTAAACAAATATCAATCTGCTATAGCACAATATTAAATATGATAAAACAAGAAAGCAAACTTCCTTAGGTTCATATGCAATTAAAAGCTTATAGAACATATATACCTCTTTATGTCCTCCACTGCTTGTTTACGGCGTTGTATTTGAAGTTCTAAAATGTGAATCAATGTTGCTCTTGCCTATAGATTGAAATACAAAAATATAATTAACAATATTCCCAAAATATCAGTAAACCATCAACAGCATGTCTGGAGGCAACTATATGTACATATGTAGAAAATTATATTTAGAACCTGATGGGGGCGCAGTGAATTTAGAAGGTGATGCAAGTTCTTGAATACGAGAGATATTTCTTCTACTCTTCTCGCATATTGTGATGGTCTCTCAATGAGAATATCAGCAAGCTCCAAAATGTGAAGCTGCAAGTCTCCGTTAAGTGATCTCAGCTCCTTCTTATAATCTACAGAATGTGATTAACTTCTATTAGGTAGAAAACTACAGTTTCTAACAAGTAAACAGCAAAACAGGAACCATAAAAGCCCATCAAAACCAATCTCTTTCTCATACTGGTTCAAATCTCACATCATTTCCTAATCTAAAATTAGTACTCCCTCCGGTCCTTAATATAAAAGTTAAATAACTAATTTACAAATATTAAAAAAATTAGTTAAATTAGTTATTTGTAATAAATAGATATTATCTTTTCTAAAATACCCTTATTAACATATGCGTTTGAATTATTCTTTGATAGTAACTGCTTAATATGTGCAGTCACTATAGAGATTATTAGAGTGCAAAATGGATAAATATTGAAGACAAAGTGAATTGGGGTTTTATATTTAGGACCAAATTGAATTTCCAATTAACTCTTATATTATGAACCGGAGGTAGTAGTAATTTTTGGAGAAGATCAATTCACTTAAGTTAGTACCATAGAATTACTCATGACACTTGGACATCATAAATTCTTGACAATTGATGACTGTCCCATACAAACATACTATATGGTGGGTAAGGTAAACATATTATTATACAACTGAATCTATTTCTAATAATCTCTATGGTGGTTTGGTAACATAGTCAAACTGAATAAAAGTGAGGCAGAATATAGCCTACCAACATGAGGGCCCTTAGGATAGAGTTGGCGCACTCCCTGCTCTTCCAAACTTGGTAGAGTGTCATCAGTCTACAAAAATTATTGAAGAAATTAATGTGAGATGTTACCATTCCAATAAGATTCACGCACAGAAATGCAAAAGAAAACAAATGGAATATATCAAAAACTGTATTCCAACTGTAGCAAAAGCTTTAGATCCCCCAAAAAAAATCGTAGTGAAAGCAAGTAGAAATAAGGAAGGTTTCCAAGAATGCAGTTCAACTTTAAAAGCCTTCAAAATAAGCAGATAAATACTCCCTCCATTAACAAATATAAGGAACAAGCATACTGATACAAACATATCAATAAACATGATTAAAAGCAGTTGGGTGCCTGAAATATTTTTCTCCCTTGTTTTGCCCACCATTAAAGCAGCTGAGTTGTAGTCTACAGTTACATGGGAAAATAAAGAGTATTCCAGGGCATTTTTGGAAAAAGAGCATTAAATATTCATTGACCTCTGCAATATTCCTTTTATTTGATAAGAAGGAATATTAGCAAATTATTTCTTATATTTGGTAGCAGCGGGAGTATAAGACAATTTAACATCCCACCACAACTTGAAGAGTTAAAATGCCAACTATATTTGTGGAGGCAGAAAAAGACTTTCCAAGAATCAAAATCGCACAAAGAGCAGGAATTCTTACAGTGTAATTGCCTCCGAAACAAACATAAGTCCCTTCTATAGGAGGGGGAGGTTCTGGAGCTGATTTAGGGTCTCGTAAATAATCTTTGTAGAGTCTGTAATAGGGTGGCGGTGGCGGGTATGTTGCTGTTGCCATAGCAAGGTCTTCCTAATAGAACCCTGAGCACTGAAAATGTAAATATAACCAAATTTAGTCAAGCATAATAACAGTTTTGCTCTCTGAATCAAATCATGGAAGAGACAGAGGAGTGAAATGGCAACAAGAAATTCACAGCCCAAAGCGGGAGCTTGAGGGTAGGAGCAAACTCCCATGAGCATTATTATCAGAATCACCAGTCTGATAGGTTGTGTAACCGAAATAAGATGTTCAGACAAGCAAACCAGAAAGCAACAGACTATTCTAAAACAAATACATTATACTCAGATTATAATCAGATACTCATATTGCTCTAAAACAATTACTCAGATTATTCACAGCAAACTAGCAAACCAGTAGTAGTCACAGAGCGCGAAAATTAAACACCCAGAGCTCATGGATGCCAGTCAAGGGCCAAATCTCAAGCACCAATCACAAAACAAATATCAGAAAGTGAAATCAAACTTAGAGGAGAGGCGAACCTGGGGGCTGGAGCCAAAATAACACGAACTCACGAACTCAGGTTGAGATCTGAGATGCTCGACGGCGAACCCGGAGCCCAGGAGAAGGACGGAGAACAACGAGAGGCAGAGATGCAGACCCAGTCACACGGGCGCCAATTTGTTCCTTTTTGTAGTGGGCCCTGATAGGCCCAATTTCATCTGATACGGTCCTTGGGATCCATAAGAGCTGTTACCTCTGTTCCATTTATACAAGTGAGGCCCTTTAGTCAAACAGACTCCCCTATTTTTATATTCCGCCGAATATGGTCCACCTCTATTAGCCCAAACTTGATCCTGTGTTTTTACTCATAATTTCCATTTTAAAATTTGTTTGATTTTTTTGTTTTGACCCTTTAATTGATAAAATTAAATAAATTACCTTAAATTATTTATATTTATCATGTTTCTCTAAGCTAATTTGTAGAGTTATAAATTGATATATAATTTAATAATATACATAAATTCCGGGAGATTTATAGCAAATTCCATAGTGACTTTGTCAAGTTAGAACTGGATAGTTCGGTCTTATCTAATAGAGACAGTGGATGTGGGGAGACTGTTAGGGACAAAAATGACAATTGGATAAGTGGCTTCAAATGCAAACTTACTAAGGTTCCACCAGCTGTAACAAAATTAATTGGAATCATACATAACCTAAATCTTTGTTGGGCCAAAGTGTATAGGAACATTATTTTGTTTTCCAACTATATAGAGGCTTTGAACATATTTACCAGAGGCTGTGTTAGTTTTCATCCTTTTAGAGACATAGTCGAAGATGCTAGATTATTGTTATATAGAGATTGGCATGTTTTGATTAATCATACCTCTAGAGAGCATTTAGGTTTTGCTAATTTTCTAACCAAGTCTTCACACATGATAGCAGGAAATTTTTGTACCCTCAATCAACCTCTACCTCTAGAACAAGGGGAGGAGATTGATGAAAGGGTTTAGGATTCTATTTTATTGTGCTATCTTCCTTTCTTGAATACAATTTTCTATTTAAAAAATTAATTTATTTAATATTTATAAATTAGTTAAATGAATCTTATATATTAAGAATAAAATATTAAAATATAGTACTATATATTAAAAAATAAGACGAGATCTCACAACTCTAACAAATTCCTTGGATGTACTTCAAATGCTTTAGACCCCATTTTTCAACTAAGCAGTTCGTCCTCATTTTCAAAATGAACAGATAATTTTGTCTCATTAGTTCCATTCTGGCCTTCTTTTTCCTGCCGGCTAAAAAACGTTTAGGCTCAATTGATAATTAGTATATTGACTTTTTATGGTGTTTGATTAATAGAGGACTTGATAATATTCTAGCCTCGTTATAATTCACTTCCCATAAATTCTTTTTGCCATGTTCGTAGGATTGATGCAAAACATCAAGTCATAGGGCAACAAATCTAAACAATCATCCTATTTTTTCAAACAAGATCATATTGAAATATATATATATATATATAAACTTTGACACTTGTCATGGCATAAATAAAATTATCACCCCCAGTGGGGAAAAAAAAAACTCTTTCAATTTTTGTTCGTTGTGCCCGGGATATCTATCGCCAGTAACAGTGACTAATCCCTCACACAATAACTTTTTAGAAGGACTTTTGGTGCTGACCACGAGACTTTCTTCATAAATACTCTCAGGAATCAAAACCCTGACCAGATGCTCAAGAAATTTAACTAAATATCAACTGTGCTAGGCCTCATGGTTATACTCTTAAGAAATAAATAATTAATTAATTTAAGTAGATTAGGAAACTTAAATAAATTACTTGTTCCAAAAAAATGTAACATGATCTTTTAAAAATATTTCTATGTAACACATGATATATGAGTTCATAAACTAAACACTAATTTGCAAAAGATGATAAATATGACAGATAAAATAAATTAAAATATTATATTTAAGAATAAAATTAACTCTATAAGTAATATTTTATATCTAAGATTGGACGAGTAAAATAAAATTATTGTCATAATCATGAAAAAGCAAATTGACAATGGAAGCAATCAAAGGAGGCCAAACAAGTGTAAAGATTGTGAGACGTGAGGCATGTGCTATGCATTTTACAAATCTCTTATCCTTTTCTTTAGCCCCTTCGCTTTCATCTCAACCACAATATTCTTAATTATTACATAAAATAATACTCACAAGCAACCCCTCGCAAAGTTACAAATCATATTCAAATTATATATACAGTGTATCATAAGGTCAAGGGTCCAAATATGCATTAAACAAATAATATGATATTAGATATTTCTTATTTTTAATAAATTTATATAATATAGAGAAGTGCAGATTTCGCTGTCTTCCTTCCTCATATTAATAATAAACAATATTGTGATGAAGGTAATCTCAGAGATCCTTGGAAGCTACTCACCAAGATAACTTACTTTAAAACATGTTTGCCTCCCCATTAAATATTTCAATAGTAAAACTGCCTTATATATAAATATATATATATAAAATCATCATACATTATAAAGTCTTCTAACCCTGACTTTCGTTCTCTATTAAGACTTCATCGTTGCCCCCAGAAAAAAAACTTCATTGAATATAATGACGGAAATTAACGGTAATTTCTTTTGTAATATTTACTATATTTTTTTATGATTTATATAAAACAAATACTACCTTCAGTCCTAATTATAAGAGCTAGTTAACTAATTTGAGGAGATTAAGGAAAGAAGTTAAGTTAGTTATTTGTAATAAATAGATGTTATTTTTCCTAAAATATCCTTACTAATTAAGTGTCTTAGTTAGAACTACTATTGTTAGAAGGACTACTTTAAAAAATGTATAAATATGATAGACAAAGTAGATTAAGGTCTTATATTTAGAACCAAAATAAAAATCAAACAAGGTCATATATTAAGGACCAGAGTTAGTATTAAAAAATTATCTATTTTTCATTCTTTGTATTTGTCAAATAATTTAATTTTTTTAAAAAGAATAACACTATTGGCGTTCACGTGTTCGTACAGATGTTTTCTTTGGAGATAATATAGTTTATAGTTGAACACTTCCCCCCCACCCCTTTTTTTTGGTTGAAATCATGGGGGACCTTTGAACGGGATATCTTATTTTGAAATGATTCAAGTTCACATTAATTACTTAATTTGTCAAAATTATTTGCGGACAATACGCTAGTTAAAATTCCGTTCTTCTGATTTTTCATTTATATAGGTGGTAATTACCTGATGTTACTGGTTTCACATCAAAATCCATCAAAACTATTGATTGATACGCCGAGAGTTTGATACTAATGGTACTTTTTAGGGAGAATTTCACCACAATTCACATGCAGCTAATGAATTTCATTTATCCCAAAAAATTTTGGAAATTTACTGCACTCTAAAAATAAATTAAAATTATATTTTATAAGTAAAAAGACATTAATACCCTTACCTTTTTTTTTCTTTTTTCTATTTGGACTTGGATTTTCAATCTGTCCGTCAAAATTGGATCTGAAAATTTGATGTTGAAATCTGGAGCCGTGGGAGGAATGACACTACTATTGCTAAAAGTGGTCAAGACAGCACCAATCAGAGCGAAGTTCTGACTAAACAGAAGTAGTCAGAGTTTCAACAATTATCTAAAATTGAAATCATTAAGAAAAAAAACAATCACAAAATTTAATTTAATTTTGAGTTTTAGGATGCAGGTAAATTTTCAGAACTTCTTAGAAGCAAATGAAGATTAATTAACTTTCAGGTAAAAAAAAAAAGATTAATTAGCTATAAAATGGGTGCATTGAAATTGTCCCTACTTTCTATACCATGCAAGCAATGGATCCATAAAAACATTTTAACCAGAATAAATGTAATGATATTTTTTTTTTACATTTTAAAGTGAAAAGTGTAAATTATATATTACCTTATGTACTTAATATAAAAATTAGTTGACAAATTAAAATAAATAAAAAAATTAGTTAAATTAATTATTTGTAATAAATAAGTAGTTTTTTCTCAAATACTTTTGTTAATTATGTGTATTAGTTAGAGCTACTATTTAATGAAACTTTTAATATATGCAAGTGTTACAATGACTATTTAAGAAAAAATAAATAAATATGAGAAATAATATTAATTAACTTAACTAATATTTTTAATATACTCAAACTATTTCATTACTTTAAGCACCGGAGGAGTATTCTGATTTTGGGTTGAAATTATGCGTTAATTACGTAATTAGAAATAGAGGAGAGCTGGTTGGAAAGACAGGTGATCAGACAAGATTTGACAAAAAAAATATAGTGACCAGACAAAATTTGACAAAAAAATGGAACTGATAAGAAAGAGACAGAGAATATGGAACACGAGGAAGATATTCTCTCCGGCACGAAGATTAGATTAGGTGAGGGTGAAAGAAACAAACAAACAAAGACTGACCTGAATTTGATTTATCCCCACACACAAAGTATATGTGGGCCCCCACCTTGTCCACGTGGCCTATTCTTGATCACTACTCTTTAGCTCCCCAGAATTCGTCTCATTGGAGCCCCTCCACGTCACCCTCCCCCCGCCGGCCACCATGATCCCACTCCATTCACCGCCGCTGATAGCGTTACAACCTTCCAAACTAATTTTCCCTTTTTTTCCCTCCCGACATTCAAAATTAATTTTATATTAAATTAAAAAAATAACACTATAACCTAATCATGAATTTCATCTTCGTAAGATAATAAAATTATCTCTTTTTTTCCAAGTCAAAATTTAAGCCAGCTACATTTGACCCTTTTCCAAACTCAAAATGGCTCTAAATATATGTACAGATAATTTAGCAACTAATTTTTCACATAAATAACAAAATTTAAAATCAGAATCTGATTTACAATTAAAGTTAATTTTTTTATTGGCAAAAAAATTTATTTTTCCATGAGAAGTAAATTAAAAATATCTATAAAATTGATTTTTCTCTTATAACATAATACAGTGACTTACTTTATACTCTTTTTTCCCCCCCCCCAACTATGTTGTGAGGTGAGAATAGTCTATCTGTCTCCTAAATTTTTGTTACATAAAACATGTAATTTAATTCATAGAGGTCAGTCATTTTGATCAATGGTAGTGCTTATAAATATCTGTGGAGAAAATTAAAATAAGTATGGAGACAAAATTTGATTCTTTTGTGAGGACAAACTTTGCATCCGTGCTTACTCTCCGAACATCCATTACTTAAATAATGAGACACAAATCCAATCCTTATTAATAGTATAGCCATACCATTAAATGACCAAATCATCCCAACAATATCACTAATCCTCGTATAACCATATCCCAATGTTTTGTATTATAATATATTTTATTTAAAATATTAATTTTTTTCAACTTACACATAAGCTTCCTAATTAATTATAAAACATTTTAATTAATTAATCAATATTTTTTAAGCAATAACTGATAATTTTGATATTTTACAATAAATAATTAATTTTACTAATTCACAGAACATTTTTATTAGTTACTTCTGATAATTATATATTCAAAAAAAAAATCATGGATTACAATTCCATTGTATTCATATTTTTTTCAACATAAACTCCCATTTAATATCTATGCTGGTACCTTGAATAATGCGATTTTATATTTTTAGTATAACTTATGGGCTTATTATATTTTGTACAGAGGCTTTGAAATCACAATATCATATTTCACAGATGTATTTGGTGTCATTATGTTATAAGATTGGATTATCATATTATATATTGATTGATGTTATTTTTTATTTTTTTGGTTCATATATTGAAATTGGATGTTTGATTGCTAAACTATTATTAGCTCCATTGAATTCGTTTGGTATTCGCTAATTGAAGACTCTAGTGACAAGAAAGCAGGACGTAATCCTCATTCCGTGTAGAGAGCAAACAGGGGCAAAATGGCCACTGCAACGAAACCCAACGAGAGAACCACCGCGTTCCGCTAATCCTCTGTTTCGTGCCTTAAAGCTACTTGCCATATATACCCCTCTCCTATAGCTTAAATCCCTATTTGTCCGTCCTTGCCTCTCTTTTCTATTTCTTACCCACATGCACCGTCATTTTTCTGGATATTCGTCATCCCATTTTCGTCTCTGATCGTTCTTTGCTCGGAACTGATCCTGCGGTGACTCGACGGTTTCCAAAGTCGGAGAATCGGCATGACGAGGCGGTGCTCTCACTGTAGCAATAACGGGCACAACTCCCGAACCTGCCCGTCCCGTGGTGGAGGTGCCGGCGGTGGAAGCGCTGGAGGTGTCAAGCTTTTCGGTGTTAGACTTACCGATGGATCAATCATTAAAAAGAGCGCGAGCATGGGGAATCTCTCCGCCCATTACTATTCTTCGTCCTCCGCTGCTGGGTCACCGAATCCCGGGTCGCCTTGCTCGGACCCGCTCCGAGACCTGGGTCATGAGCAAGACGGGTGCTTGTCTGATGACCCCTCTCATGCCACCAGTTCTGCCAACAGTCGGGGAGAAAGAAAGAAAGGTATTATTGCTATTATTTTGGAAGTATGTATTGCTATATTTTATTTGGCCAACGTTATGAATTATTTTAAGAATTGAATTTGTGAAATTTTGCAAGTTAATTGCCCTGTATTCTTTCTGGTAAAACTCATTTAATTGGCTGGTTGCAAGCCTATTGCCTTCCCTTATCATTTTTGGCTTGGGTTGTTTACTCTTATTTTCAATTTCATATCATTAAAGACCATTAAAATGCTTAAGAAATTACAACCGGGCATTTTTTGTGGTTGGTGAAATCAAAAAGTCTTTTTGATTGCTCATTACTGTTTATTTCAAATTGGCTTCCTTTTTTATTTTTATTCCTTTTTCTGCACACTTGTTTGTTTTCTAGTGCACATTTTATAGGCTTGCATCCAGCCTAATTTGTTTGAGACTCTCAGCACTTGACAATAACGACTCTTAGGCCATATCAATCCATTGTTATTATTGTTTTGATAAGGTAACAGTTGGTGCTTGTATGGAAGTGGTCTTGGGGGATGTCAGTTGAATACTCTGTGCTTCCCAGCATCTTTTAAACTCACTTCTGGATAACCTTAAAGAGGCATCTGCAAAGGATTGTGTTTGACTAGAAAATTGAATTTTTGGTTCAAAAATTACCGCAGAATCTCTAGTTCTGTTCATATCACTTTTCGGGATCACATGTTTTAATAAGTGTCTGGTTATTCCACCCCGATCATAGTTTCATGCAATTGTTCATCCAAAAGTACTGTTGGTTTCTGGTATCAGTTTTCAGTAATTTCTTTCTTTTTCTCAAGTGGCTTCATCCTTCAGTTTTAAGCCGGAAGCATGTCTCCCTAGCTAGCTCAAATAAAGTTGTGGGAATAGCTACTTGACTGTTCAAGGTCAAAATTGAAGTCTTGGTAGATTTGGCAAGCGATTCAGTGAGCTCATATAAATTTTATTCAGCAAAATACATCAAATGGTTAGAATAAGTGCAGTGATTATTGTGTTTGGTTTTAATACTGAAGATTTTTCCTTCCCTGAAAAGAAGTCATATTTTCATACTTGATTCATTACTTCCTGGAATATGCATTAGACCCAGTATTTTTAATGTAATATCATGTTTCTTATGTTTTGGGTTATTCAGATCTGTTGCAATTCTATTGTGTTCTTTATCCTCCTGGTTCTGTTCAAGAATTCTCTGTCAGCAGTTATTGGTCAAATTTGGCTCGTTTTTGGACTAATTTTCCTTCAGCAACTTGCTTTTTTACGATTGAACCTGAGGCTTCATCTATTGACATTAAAACATCTATGGAAAGTCTTTTGACAGTGTGATTTAATTCCTTTGCAGTTTTTCCAAGAAACATTTGGCAGACCTGAGTCCCTGAAGAATTGTGTTTATTAGTTTGCCAAAAATTTAAGATATAATGCTATTGTATTAGCAAATTGTTTTTCTAGAACAAAGGCCAAATGCTATACAAAGTTTTGGAGTTTTGGGGGAGGGCATTGGCCAGTATTCATATTTTAGTCTTGGAATAGGTTAATCCTAGTAAGCAGAGTTGAACTTGTTCATCAACTTCAATTGATATACATACAAAATATTTTAGCTCAAGGTAGACGATGTATGAGCTCTGATCTTTTACAGTGGACCGAAGCCCAAAGTGTAAGTTGGTGGACATTGAAGTGAATTCTAGACCAACAATTTGATTCTTTCAGGAAAATATCTGCCTCAAATCCCAATAAATGATACTTATCATACACAGCCATCATGTTTGTTATCTTTTTAACATTTTTGCACTTTATGTGATGACCAGACTAATATAATTGGTTGAATAAACCTTTTGACATGTATTGCTCATAATAATTTTTGTCTCTAATGATTAGTTCGTTGGATTATTGGGTTATCATATATCAATGATGTGGTTATCTCATTGGGTATGTTGAATGCCTTCTGTAAATAAATATTGGGTACTTTTACTCACTTTGCACTGGGTTTTTTAGGGGTTCCATGGACTGAAGAAGAACACAAGATGTTTTTAGTTGGCCTCCAGAAGCTGGGCAAAGGAGATTGGCGAGGCATATCTCGCAATTTTGTTGTGTCAAGGACTCCTACTCAAGTAGCAAGTCATGCCCAAAAGTATTTCATCCGGCAAAGTAATGCTACCCGGAGAAAGAGGCGTGCCAGTCTTTTTGACATGGCTCCAGATGTGGTTGGTCTTCATTAATCTATTTTATTTGAGTCGTCTTTTTTGGTACAAAATACTTATCTACCATTTCCAGCAGTGTTAATCTTTTGATTGTGAAAACTGATTCACCTGAAAACAAAGAGTACAAAAAATTGCTAGTGTTCTCTGAGTTTTATTTTTAACTTGAAGACCACTGTATAAGGATAAGCATTCTGAATGACTATGACATGCTTGTTGACCTTGTGCTGCAAGTTTCTTGTGAAAAGTTTGCTTGAATGATAATGTGAAAGAAAATATTGATATATTCTTCCACATTTAAAAGGACAGAATCGTTGCACCTCTCAGTCTGTTGGCTGCATGATGCATGTTCTTGCTTTAGACAATCTAAGTAGCAATGTTGCATTGCTGATTTCTAAACAAGCTAATTAAAGCAAGGGTGTTCATCCTATGCGTAGCTGGTCATTGATTATGAGTTACAGCTGATGATTATCTTATATTTTGTCACATTTTTTAGCTACTAACCGGTTTCTTAACATATATTAGTCTTCAGATCCACCTTCAGTCCTGGAAGAACAAGTATTACTGCCACCTTCTGAGAACTCACAACCTGGGAGTGCAAATTTACAACCATCATTAGATCTCTCCCTCAAGTCAGAATTTGAACCCATGGAAACTAATCACGAAGAAAATCTGGAAGAACCCGATGAAACTATGGTAAGATCAAGTGGAGTGACACCAGTGGCTAACGGATTCATGCCGTCATATGTACCTGTTGCATTTTCCTTATGGCCATCAAATGCAGCTCCCCTTGAAGAAGTTAAGGAAGCTGAGACAGCTCATCATCAGGTCCTTAAGCCAATCCCAGTCATTCCCAAGGAACCAGTCAATGTTGATGAACTTGTTGGCATGTCTCAGCTGAGTTTGGGGGAAACTCAAAATGGTGGTAGAGAGCCTTCCCCACTTTCTTTGAAGTTGCTGGGGGAGCCCTCTAGGCAATCAGCATTCCATGCAAATGCTCCAGTTGGTGGTTCAGATCTAAACAATGGCAAGAACAGTGCAATTCAAGCAGCTTAAGCTTTTAAATTCTCTTGATGACAGCAGTAATTAAGCCTTCTTTTGGTCATCGTTCCATTTGTATTTTGTACTATTATATACTTATCTTTTTTCCATTTGGATCCGTCATGTTATCATTAAGTAGCAAGTCACATGTTATGTAGCTCAGGGTAGATAAATTCTTGAAATTTTTATTCTTCGTTACTGTAAACAACTGAAAGCTTAAATAATCAAATGACCACGAGGCTCGGTTCCTCAAGATTTGGTTGTATTAGTTCACTTGCCAGGGCCGTTTATTATGCAAGCTTTTGAACTGCTGCAATATCCAAGAGGTGCCCTGTGTCCTTGTGAGCTCAGAATCCACCTTGTGCTTGATAGAGGGAAGTGGTAAAGGTCGATGAGTTGAATCATTTTGACATTACACTGTCCTATTTGAACCAAGTGCAAGGTAGCTCCTTTTCACAAATACTGTAATAAGTTGGCCCTTTTCATCCAATAATTAAGATTATTTCTTTGCAAATTGTTTTTGGAGAGAGCCATAAGCAGAATTTCTTTGGCTGCTGCAATCACATTAAACAATAATAGATGCAAGCATTACTAGGGTATTACAGTCATTGCAGAGTGAATATCGATAACCTAGTCCTTCGGTTCATCTTGGTAAATTTGGTGTAATTTGTCACTTAGCATTAACAGGGTGAACTGTATTAATTGAAATAAGGAGGATGGCCTTCATATTTGACCTTCTTTAAGGAAATGTTGCCGTTGATTCTTCTGCAATGGATAAGTAATTACTTAAACTCTGTACTATCTATTACTATGGTTGCATAATTTGATTCTTTGAAGATGCTTCATTTTGATAATACTTGAATAGCTGGGTTCACATAGTTATTCGGGAAACACGGCAACTTGGATCTAATTTCTTGAAAGCTGACTTAAAGCAACATAATTTGTTACCTCTCTAGTATTCAGAAAACATTACTCTTCTTGAGCTCAATCAGCCTCTATTTTGGTGGCCCAAAACTTATTTCTATGTGGTCCTTGCTTTTTCAGGTTTGCGCTTACGAGGATCATGTCTTGTTCATCTTATTTGGATAAAATTTAGGGAGATAGCAAAAGTTGGCTTTAGTGGGTAATGGTATGCAGCTTTCAATAATGTTTTCCCAGCAAATGGATTCTGAAAATGAGCAGAATTTGATGCTGCCACTGAAGAATACCTCCTTAAAGTCATTAAGAAAGCAACCTCGGTTAACACCTCCATCAATGCATCAATACTCACTGGCTTGGGATTATCCGTGTCAGAACATTCTTGATGAGGAAAAGAAGGAATAGGGATATGTTTTTGCTAGGCCCTAAAGCTGCTAATGCTTCTACGTGGCAGCCCATTAAGAAAGGTCCTATGAGCAGCTAATTCTCTGACGCGGCAACCCATCATGGACACTAACGTTGTATTCATGCCTCCTTTTATTGTAATTGGATCTTACTAAATGTGCTCTGGTAAAAACCTTCACATTTTCGGATTTTAATCTTGCTTTGATGGCGTGGAGATTCATTCATCTTTAAGTCTATTATCTGGATTATTTTACGGCCACTATGTCATTTTCTATTTTTCTGTCATATGAATGGCATAGTATCTTTACGTTGGCTCCTGCAGACAACTGTAGATGAAATGGCATTACATATGACTGGAAAGTAATGATGATTCTGCATGATTTGGAAGCGAGGAATTGTTTGACAGGCTATGATTAGAAAAGATAAAACAAATCAAACTGGTAAGAGAAATGTCCGGTGTGTAGCTTAGTATGCTGATGCAGTATTTTTCAATGGATCTAGCAATAAAATCCATGGACATGCAGAGGATTGATGATTGTCATCAACATAGGAGATAGTGATGCAAGAAAAGAAGGGCGATCAGCCAAGCTTGAGAAAAAAGACAGAGAAACCAGATTCTGATCCACTTCTTCCACCCACGCAAACCATTCAGCCTATTTTCATTATTGTATTTTAAAAAACTCTTTTTATAAAAGAGCAGATGTGACCAATCACGCAAAAGAAACCATCTTATGGGACGTGGGAAGGAGGAATGTGTGTGCGCGTGGAAAGAGAAGGCAGGCAGAGGGGGTAGACCTGTAAATCACACAGGAATAGGAGGCCCCTGTCCTTTCACTCCAGTGTGGCAGAGGAATAAAGAGAGAATTTCTTCTCCAACACTTGATTTCTCCTTTTCAACATTTTGCTGGAATTATAGGCAGAGATGAACAGAGAAAGAAGTGACAAGGGCCACTCAGGTGCATCCCCAAAATTCTTATGTCAATCATTGGCATTTCATCCCTCTTAATGTTTCTTCTTTTTTTCTATTTTGGTCGCTTGATGATTGTCCTTCCTTATTCTCTGTCCATCATATCTTCCCACATTAACTTGGCTTTTTTTGAGGGGAAAAACGGATATATTAGACATGCATTTTCATGCATTACTTAAGAGTCTATACTGAGGCCTTTTTCTCTTAAAAAAATTATATTTTATGTTGATGATAATTCATGCACAAAATTCTGAAGATCCCAGAGCTTATCACTTGGATTGTAAGTGGAAATAAATTCTTTTATGTATTTGGCTTGGCCTTTCTTCTTCCTTTTTTTTTTTGTAAATCTTGGAGTCTTTATTCTAATTAGGAAGCTCATAACGTCTATTATTGTGCATGATCCCTGGGATAAGGGGACATTGGTGGAGACAAGAAAGGACAAGCAGGACACAAAATAAAGATAACAGGAAGAAGAGGATGCTGTAAATTTATGAGTACCACAGAGCAAGCAGCACGTGTCCTGTAAAAGTAATCTTCTGTGATTGACTTTGTTTGATATCGATGAGTGTGAAGGAATGGGCTATCATGTTTCAGAATCACCTGATACCACTCTCCCAAGCAGTCCCCTACTGGCCTAGTCTATTCCTACAACGTCTGTTTTCTTCATTTCAATCCTGTAATACTAGTGAACATCAACTGCTTCCATTATTTCAGGCTGTTTGGACTAAAGAAATCACAGTTTATGGGTTTGGATTCACGTCTTGGGGTGCTGCATCAGATAGTCATGACAGTGAAACAGTTCCTTAGTATTATACTATTTTAGAACCCACGAACACTTCTCCTGATCATGGTCCACATAGAAATTAGGAAGTATTATTGTGTTATAGAATATGTAAATGCTAGTACAGATTGAAATCATATGGAAGCTTGTATTCATAGATAACACTTGTAACAATGATATTTTCACAAGGTATTCCATAATTGACGTGACATGGAATATTTGAGAGAAATTCCAAGTTTAATATCAAGCAAAACGTCTTTTCACAGAAACATATGGTTTTTGCAACTTTTGCTCATTTGTTGATATGTTCCTTCTTCCTGCAGTAAGAACCTAAGATCTTGCTTGAAAGGTGACGCGTTCATATATTATTGTTATTGTTGTTATTATGTCTCTAATCCTAAATGTACGATTTAATTTATAAAATAACTTAAATTATAGAATAGATTTTACATTTAGAACCGAATGATAATTATTTAGTGGCCATAAACAAACTTTTTAGCTCTCCTTTTAGGATAAATTCTTTGTCTCATGCGATGCCCGTTTTGGTATTCCTTTAAATTAGTTTTCTTTTGTTACCATTTGCTTTGAATCAACTAACTTGAAAACGCAGAGCATATGCTATGTTGGTATATGTCTCCTCATATGGAAATAGAAAAGAACTTCTCCACCAACTCATGATGATGTTAACGATAAATGATAAATGTTCGTTCGGTCTTTAAACAAATGGTTAGGGATTTGATTCTCAAACTGTATGTATGGAATAAACTTAATTAAAAAGAATTTATTTTATACTCTCTGTATCTTGAAAATAGAAAATATCCTTAATTTCAGAAAGAAAAAAAAAAGGAACAACTTTTCCTTTTAAATGCTTAAAAGAAGAATATGTTCATGCATGTTAACTTATATGTGATATGCGGATGAAGTTTTAAGATACTCCTTCAGTTCTTAATATAAGACCCATTTAACTAATTTGATTAAATTAAGAAAGTTAGGTAAGTTAGTTAATTATAAGAAAAGTGACATATTTTTCCTAAAATACCATAATCATCTTTCTTAATACCCCCTCCCTCTTCTACTTGTTTATAGTTGAGGGAGTATCTATAGGGTTAATTTAGAGAAAATTGATAAATATGATAAATGAGTCTTATATTTAGAACCGGAGGAGTACATATCTTGAAAACTTATTCATACTTGAATTTAGATGCATTGTTATGGGTATAAGTTAAAGCAAAGAAGATAAAGCATCACAATAGATTAGTTAATTGTATAAGAAATATATATGATTAAGTATCAATAATTGGTATCGCTTGATTATATATTCGATTCTAATTAAATTAAATAAATAATGATATCTTATGTCAATTCATCTTTTTTCCTGGAATTTATTAATGATTTCTGTCTAGAGATAAAGCGATGCTTAAATGATGGACCCACGTTCCGTACAGGTACTATTTTTTTTGGAAATTACAGAGTGGTTAAAAGTATCAACCCTTTTTCAAGTTATATGGATATTGATGATTGCATGATGAAAATAATTTGAGATCATGTGACGCTCAAACTCAATTGAATTGTGTGTATCACCAGAAAAGGTTCCGGTGAATATTTAACTTTTAAAAGATAAAATAGATTAAAATTTTATATTTAAGATTTAATTTAATCCCAATTAATGACCGGAAGTAGTATTTAAAAAAATAATATATAATAAAATAGTATGACATTGCCCACTATATAGTAGAATATCATAATCAAGAGGAAAAATTGGGATAAAGAATGAAGAATCTACTGGCAAACATCATTAGAAAAAATAACCTGAATCACAGAACATGAAAGAGAATATGTCGATCGGTCGAAGAACATAAAAAGGCCATAGAAGATAAATTGCATATTTTTGCCTAATTTTTTTTACTAAATATATATATTTTGCCAAATTTTCCTATATATGTGTTCTTGTACTTTGTCAATAGGTTCTTAATCCCAATTATTATTATATAATAAAATACTATGACATTAATCGTCCTATTTAGTAGAATACCCATTGACAAACATTTTGGGAAAAAAGAAATGAATAATAGAAGAAAATATGCAGAATATAGAAAATAATTATCATATTTTTATCACAGTTCTTAGGTAGAATTACAATGAGATCCTAAGAAAAAAATAATTACAGAATAAGTCTTAGAAATTGTCATTGTTTACTGTGAAATTTGTCATCACATGTTGTTTAATTGTTATTGGGACTTTTTAGTAATTATGTTTTTTTTAACTTGATGGTAATTCTCCCAAGTTTTATCCCAAATATGCTTTTTCATAGGTTCTTAATTCCAATTTTTTAACTAATATAGGCTTAATGCATTGCATGGAGTTTGAAATGGGTAATATTGTTGTTATTATTATATGATACTATCTTCAGTCCTAAATATAAGAACCAGTTAATTAATTTAAAAAGATTAAGAAAATAAGTTAAACTAGTTATTTGTAATAAATAGATGCTGTCTTTCATAAAATATCCTTGCTAATTAAGTATATTGGTTATAACTATCATCATTAAAAAGACTACATTAGGAAAAAATATATTAATATGAGAGATAAAATAAATTGAGATTATATATTTAAAACTAAAATAAAATTAAAAGAAGTCTTATATTAAGGATCGAAAGTAGTAAATAGTACAAATTGTTACATATGGTTTTAAATTTTGCGAACGCTGTACAAGATACTCTCCCCACCAATGCTTATGAAGGGTCGTTTTTTCTTGGTTATAGTATCTGTTCCTTTTCCTTCAATCAACGTTTAATGAAAAAATCACCTCAAGGTTTGTAGTATTTTTATCTCTTCAATTATATGGATAGTTGTTAAAAAAAAAAAAGGGAAATTTTAAGGGGAAAAACTTTCTTCAAAAAAGTTGCTTTTTAGTTTCTGGTTTCTTTTTACAAAAGTAATTAAAAAAAAGAATTATGAGATTATTTTCTTAGCACACCGTTTCTTACATATCACTTTTCAGCACCTTTTTCTCAGCTATAAAATCCACCATTCCCCACCTCCAAATCCAGCATCCCCCACCAAAGCCTTCTAAATCATATATCTGTCTCTTTTAAGCCCACCTTCCTCCTGCTTCTCAACTCTCTCTGATGGCATCTCGCAGACAGATTGCTGCCATGAAACAATCCCTCTTTGATCAGGTTTTTCTTCTTCTTCTTCTTCCCTCCTCATTTTATAATCTTAACTCCCACTTCCTGAATGAACACATTTAATATTGGATTCCATAGTCACATAATCTTAACACCATAAAGATTGTATTTTGCATCATGGGTAACAAAGATAATGGGAGTTTTATAATGGTGACATTCTTGCGTTTATTTACAAATACTGCTTCTGTTCCGTGCAGGGATATCTGGATGAACAGTTCATTCAACTCGAGGAGCTGCAGGATGATGCCAATCCCAACTTCGTTGAAGAAATTGTCACTCTTTTTTACCGCGATTCCTCAAGACTTATGTCAAACCTAGAGCAAGCATTGTAAGTCATATTATCATGCTCGTACTTCCTTTTATATCTGTGCCTTTTTCTTCTTTCTCTTTAGTCTAATGATTCTGTCATTTTCGTTCTTGTTCCAGGGAGAGGAACCCACTGGAATTTAACAGGCTAGACTCTATGATGCATCAGTTCAAAGGAAGCAGCTCAAGGTAATGATAGAAAATCTCAGAAGGATAGGATATTATACTATACTGTGTTATTATGCCTTGGCTTACGATAAAAGGGATCTAATGATTTGGACTTTGTTAATGGGCTGCAGCATCGGAGCCAAAAAGGTGAAAGCAGAGTGCACTCTGTTTAGGGAATATTGCAGGGCTGGAAATGCTGAGGGGTAATCTATCTTTCACTTTTGGTTCCTTCTCTTCACAGTCCCTCACCAAAAGCTGTTTCCAGTACTTGTGAGAGGGCCTTCTAGCTAATCCTAGTCCTAGCATTTCATGAAGAGCCCAATCCTACAAGAAGCTTTTTCTGAGTCATTATTCTGTAGGTTCAGTGTATCAGTATATGCAAGCTCACTGATTAGCATTTACCGCAACCCCACCAGTTGAAGTTGTATTATTTTTCCCCCCCTTTTAAGTAAAACAATAAAGAATATGGCAAGTTGAGCTTACGTAAGAAACACCAAGATTGTGTTTAACAAATAGATGCTGCTGTGTGAATATGCAGATGCAAGAGGAGCTTCCAACAGCTGAAGAGGGAATATGCCACACTGAGAAAGAAGCTTGAAGCTTATTTTCAGGTGAGCCTATGTTTGATGCGTATTTTTTTTGTCTTCTGTTATGAGGAAACAAAAAATTGGAGAGTTTCTGATGATCATGTTTTCATGCAGCAAGCAAGGCAAGCTGGGCCCTTTGAGGCAGCATGTCGTCCCAAGTAAAGGCTGATTAGATAAATATGCAAACTTTGAGACACAAAAAAATGTAATTGGTGAATCTTGAGACTTTGAGAGTACATATTCACCTCAGAAGAAGAAAAAGAAGGACAGGCTCTTAATGGGTTTGGGGATACTTTGCTTCTAAATATCAGTTTTGTTTTTCCAAGTTGAATGTAATTTTGCTTTTCATAGTATGACTAGTCTAATCTAATGGAACTGCATTGATCCAATTGAAGTATCATCAGGATACAAAACGATGAGTATTGAAGTCGTTGTAGTATAACAGTGGAGGGTATGGATAGCTGAAGCTTCACAAAGAGATTTTAATAAAATAGATTAGATTCCTACCCTTGTGTTGTCACATATAGAGAGAATATAAAATAATCAGACAGTATAATGTTGTCAGCTTTTTTCCTAGATATTCTCATCTTCTTCTTCTTCTTTTTTTATTGGCTAAGTCGTTCATTTTTCTTTAACTACTAGATTCGAAATTTAAGGCCTACGTGCGACCAAACATTGAAAAGAAGAAAATAAATTGCGGTATTTACTGCTACATGTGGGCTTCAATAGGCTCAAATTAACAAAAAGGCCAAGTTTGATTTTGGGTGGCAGGAAAGCCCAATAAATTTGATTAGAACATGAACAAAAAAGTTTCAAGTTGAGGTCGTTGTTGTTGATGTCTCTGAAAATTGGATATATGGGGTGATTAATCTAGCAAAGAAGATAACTTGAAAAAAATAACACCATTAATCTTTCTCACATTCAGTATTAAAATTAACATGATGGCATTATAAAATAAAAAGCATAACTAATTTTTTTTTTAAAAGAAACAATCTTGGTTATGATGTTCATGTTGAAAACTAAACCCTCAAAACCAGGGGCCAAGAATAACTCGGAATTTTTGAATATGGGGCTTGTGATGAGTGCGCTAGACAGAATGAGGAGGGGCTATATCTATGTGATAAGTTTTTGATAGTTTATGATCAGTATTTTTCTTGTAGCCCAACTTACGATAAGTTATGGTTCAATGAGGGAAAAGCAGTACACCAAAAAATAAATAAATAAAAGAGAGAAGAGCATGCACGTTTTTCACTTTATTATAATTTTTTTATATTTAAGGACAATTTCTTTTTTACTACGCATATGTATCTTCTTATCTTCTTATTTGAAATAATTTTATTTGAGATATTGTCAAATACTAACTATGAACATCTTTTTTGGTAAAAATTTCAAATTCAATTTGTTATGTTACGAGGGATTAGCCTCATTTAATCTCCATTAGTTATTAAATGATGGTTTTATTCAAACTAAATAAAAAATTATACATAAAAGTGTTAATTTGAGCAACGCCCAAATAAATGAAAAGAGAAAGCTCGGCCATCATTAAAACAAAAAAAACACCATATTACCAAAAAAAAAAAACATAAGGATCAACACTTCGATGGCTGGTCAAAGCTTAAGGGCCCGTTTGGATTAAGGGTGAATAACTGTGATTTTAGATAATTGTGAATTTTATAAGTGATACTGGCTAATCGTGATTTCTGTTTGGATTTTTTTTTAATAAGTGATTTTAAGAATTGTGATTATGTTTGATTTTCATTTATTAAAATCACTTATAGATGTGTAATTACTAAAAGGGATATGAAATTAATAAAGTTGTTTACATTTTCATAATTATTATATTTAATAATAAATTGTATTAAATATAATTTAATAAATGACATGAATATTTAAATATTATTTTTATTTTCTTAATTTAACGATGCTCCTCAAATTAGAATCAGATCAGAATATTATCTGAATATTTGTATCGAATTGTTTCAATCATATGTATTCATCCATTCAAGTTTTTTCTGATTTTTTTTTAAAAAAAGTCTTTTAGATAAAATTAAAAAAAGTTTCATATCGTATGTTTTTTTTAAAAAAAAACCAAATAATTAAAATAATTACCATTAGAATGATTATAAGTATGGTTGTTTCCGGAAAGGATGTTTCTCAGGAATGGATGGAATAGAAAGAGGCACCGAATGAGCAAAGGGTATATTGGAGAAAATTTAATTGTTGAAGATTGATCGGGATTTTTCAAACGTATAAGCTACTTTTTGTTGCTTGTCCTAAAAGTGCGATAGAAGGTTAAAATCACGATTTATCGGGATTTTATAAAAATTATCCAAACAACTCAAACGTACTTTATAATCACTTATTTGGATTTAAACAGGTTTATTTGAAATTCTACCACTTAACCAAACAGGCACTAAGTCTCATATGAATTAATTGCAATGCCACCAAACCGGGCATTGTTCAAAGTCGTGAAGAGCATAAGCAGATATTATAAATTTTTTTAAAAAAATAATTTAAAAACAATGTTTTATGTACGAATATGTTTTCCTAATAAAAATCCCTCCTTATTCATTTATTATTACAAGAAATAGTGCATTTTCAATTTAAATACATCTTCGGAAACATTGAATAATAACCTATTTTATTATCTTCTTTTAGGGCTCATTGATGATTGGCGTGGGGGAATAAAGATATCCACAACAAAGTATCATAATCGAGGAAGGTTTCTATTTTTGCTGAATGCTTATATTCATATATAATATAAAAGATCTATCAACTTACACTATAATTAACTTTCCAAACTGTGTGAAACAAATCATACAATTTTTTAATTAAAAAAAAGAATAGAAAAAATCACCAAAAAACCCTAAAAATTGAAAAATTACATATAAGGACTCACTCGCAAAAATTACTTATTATTATCAAAACCCATACTAATATTTTTATAGGTCTCTATTTGTAATTTTTTATTTAAACTTTTTTTTTTACGATTTTTTTTAAAAATGTCATGTCACAAACAAAATATATAAGGGAAAATGACATTAAGGTCCCACACAAGAAAATATACTAGAAAACAGACCCTTGAAATCTGATAATGAATCACAAGTCCCATAGGGACTTAATTGCAATAATAAGAATGTTAAACAGACATTATTGCCCAGCAATGTAGAAGGAAAGGGCACTCATATTTTCTGCACGATCTAAAGCTGCTACTAATGGGAGAGAAGAGCTGGAGAAAGAAGGAAATAGCCATTGATAAAGCATCTTTCTCATCACTATTAGTGAACTCCAAAGAGTTTCCATTTCAATCTCTCCAAACTTTCAGGTTTTGAAACTTTCTTCCCCTACTCTTCTCTGCATTTTGCTTGACAGATTGTGTTTGGATATTAGAATTTAGAAATTCGTTTTTGCCTTTAGGTATTGCAAAGCTTTTGTTTTTTGTCTAATATGAACAAGATACTCAATAAAAAAAGTTGTGCTTTTGTTTGGTGTGGGTTGGTGATTTAAGTTGGGGTTTCATTGTGGGTGGGTAGAATGATGATGGATGCTCTGTTTTTTGTTACATTATGGGTGGTTTTGCTCTGTTTTAGCATGGTTTAGTATGAAAAGTTGAAGAAGATGAAGGTTGGTGTGGGTGAAAACCTTTCCTACGAAATGGGATATTATGTTGTCAATATAAGCTGTGAAAGTTGTCAATGGATGCCGCGACAGTTGTCAATTGTGCTGCTTCACTTGTCAATAACAGCTGGATGATTGTTGATGCAGGTTTACATTAATAACGGCCAGTATGTCTAGGAAGCATCACGCCGTCAAACCATGCAAGAATCCAAATACCAACTGAGAATGTATTGAAATCAGTTATTTTTTGTATATGGATATGAAAAGAATATTTTGTAAATGAGTGTGAAGGGATTTTTTTGTAAATGGGTACACACCAACAATTAGTTTGGTAATTACATGCAACCCTATGTTTTTTTTAATGGGTTGTGAAATATGTGTAATTCCATGTATATAAAGATGTAAATGAAAGTTGGCTATAAACTGATATGTTAGATTCTACAGTCATTTGAGTTGTAATTATTGCATCTTGCATTGTCAATAGACTATTTTGACTTGTCACTGATTGCAGTATGACTTGTCAATTAATCTGCTGATGTGAGTTATCTAAAATATGAATTCAAGTTACATAATATTGACATATCATATGATATTTTCAATTACCTAAACATATTACGTTTTGGTTATAATGTCGTATATAATCATTATTAAAAGCCTAGTATTACTTATATAAAATTATAAAATAAATTATCAATAACTACATCATCATTTGTCAATGTGGCACTGTGACTTGTCAACAGTGGAATCAAGAACATAGAATTTCATCCAGGCATCACAGCGCTTATTACAGAATGCCTCTCTGTCTTTTTTGCTTCAAAGGTAGTGGTGGATTGCTCTAGGCATCCTGGTGAATTGAGATTATTAGACTTGTCAACAAATGCACTATGACTTGTCAAATTTTGAAAAATTGTCATCCAATTAACATAACTTCTGATTGATATTTATATGGTAGGTTACATATAACTTACTTGAATATTTTAAATAAACAACACCTTCAATTTTGAAAATTTCCACATCATTACAAAAAAAAAAGATTAGTTTTAAGGAATTGGTGATATTGTATGATTTTGTATAGCATTATGTAATGTAAAGTCATATTTTTTTGAAATTTATATTAGTACGTAAATTAACAACTGATAGTGCAATGAGTAACAAGTGATGAAAGGTGTATTGATAATAAAAGGTGTAGATAATGACAACTAATTATGCATCAAAATGTAATATAGAACCAACTTTCATTTACAACTTCATACACATATAATTACATTGATTTCACAACACATTAAAAAAAATACAATTTCATATATCTAATATCAAACTAATTATTTGTATGCATTGTGATATTTACAAAAAAAAAGTCACTTTTATTTACAAAAAATTCTTTTGCCATCATTTGTCTGTGTTTAGAGTAGCTTTTCTTTTTATCATGTTTCTTCTTTTGCTTCATGTGGTGCCCACCCTTCTTCATTGCCTCTTCTTTCCTTTTTTATAACCTCTACCAATGAGTTAAGGGCACAGAAGGTTATGAATTTTGTGTCAAGAATTTAACAATATCATTTAATGTAAATTTGCACAACACAGGTATCATTGACAAGTCAAGGAGCTATATTAACAATTATCGCAGCCCATATTGACAACATATTTTCCTGTTTCGTAGTAAGAATTTTTAGCCACATCAACTTTTGTCTTCCTCATCAATTCCCACCAAATCATGCCCAGATAGAGCAAGCTCACCTTCAATCCCCCACAATATACCCAAAAATAGAACATCCATCATCACCCTACCCACTTATAATAAAACCCCAACTTAAATGACCAAGCACACACCAAACTAAAAACACAAGAGAATTTTGCCAATGGCTGACATGGGTGGAGTGGATGAGATTTTCAAATGGGAATAGAGAAAAAGCAAAATGAAGTTTGGATTTTTTTTCTTTTTTACTTTCAGCATATAGAGTGGTGACTCTCAGACTGAAAAATAGGACAACTTTCATTTACTTTGGGTGCATCTCACTAGGGACATAGAAGTCTTTTTACACTTTACTAAATTGCACTCCAGTCCCTTTGAGACTTCATATTCATTACCAAGTTTTCTGGATGAAATTCTATGCTGTTGATTCCCTCATTGACAAGTCACAATGCTACCATCGACAAATCACAGTGCCATCGTCAACAAGTCACATTGCCATTGTTGACAAGTGATGAGATAATTATTGATAGTTCATTTTATAATTTTATATCAGTAATAATAGGCTTTTAATAATGATTATATACGACATTATAACCAAAACGTAATATGTCAAGGTAATTGAAAATATCATATGATATGTCAATATTATGTAACTTGAATTTATATTTTAGATAACTCACATCAGCAGATTAATTGACAAGTCATACTGCAATCAGTGACAAGTCAAAACAGGTCTATTGACAATGCAAGGTGTAATAATTACAACTCAAATGACTGTAGAATCTAACATATCAGTTTATAGCCAACTTTCATTTACATCTTTATATACATGGAATTACACATATTTCACAACCCATTAAAAAAAACATAGGGTTGCATGTAATTACCAAACTAATTGTTGGTGTGTATCCATTTATAAAAAAAATCCCTTCACATTCATTTACAAAATATTCCTTTCACATCCATATACAAAAAATAACTGATTTCAATACATTCTCAGTTGGTATTTGGATTTTTGCATGGTTTGACGGCGTGATGCTTCCTAGACATACTGGCCGTTATTAATGTAAACCTGCATCAACAATCATCCAGCTGTTATTGACAAGTGAAGCAGCACAATTGACAACTGTCGCGGCATCCATTGACAACTTTCACAGCTTATATTGACAACATAATATCCCATTTCGCAGGAAAGGTTTTCACCCACACCAACCTTCATCTTCTTCAACCTTTCATACTAAACCATGCTAAAACAGAGCAAAACCACCCATAATGTAACAAAAAACAGAGCATCCATCATCATTCTACCCACCCACAATGAAACCCCAACTTAAATCACCAACCCACACCAAACAAAAGCACAACTTTTTTTATTGAGTATCTTGATCATATTAGACAAAAAACAAAAGCTTTGCAATACCTAAAGGTAAAAACGAATTTCTAAATTCTAATATCCAAACACAATCTGTCAAGCAAAATGCAGAGAAGAGTAGGGGAAGAAAGTTTCAAAACCTGAAAGTTTGGAGATATTGAAATGGAAACTCTTTGGAGTTCACTAATAGTGATGAGAAAGATGCTTTATCAATGGCTATTTCCTTCTTTCTCCAGCTCTTCTCTCCCATTAGTAGCAGCTTTAGATCGTGCAGAAAATATGAGTGCCCTTTCCTTCTACATTGCTGGGCAATAATGTCTTTTTAACATTCTTATTATTGCAGTTAAGTCCCTATGGGACTTGTGATTCATTATCAAATTTCAGGGGACTGTTTTGTAGTATAATTCCTTGTGTGGGACCTTAGTGTCATTTTCCCAAATATATAAACTGTAAAGGGGCGTGACTTTCCGGTCAAAAAAAAAAAAAGGGGGCGTGACTTAAATGCAAACCGACCCGAATTCCGCCCCGCCCGCATGGGGGGCCACTGTCCGGCCCGTTTGAACCACAGTTTTCCCGTTCGAAGTTAAAAAATAAAATCATGTCGAATTGCCCGAAGAGAAGCTTCCTCCTCTCCGCTTCAGATCACTCCCTTCAGTTAGACCTCTGTGATCGTCGTCGACTGTGACCGGTCTGCGTGCTTGGTTACGAAATCCATCTCTTCTTCTTCGTGAACATCAACTTAGCAATTTAGGGCGTGGAATTCGAAGAAGAGGAGGAGTCCACCTCCCCCAGATTTCATATTTCGCTCCTGCCTTTGGTTTTGGTTGATTGTCACTGCCCAGCCTCTACTGTTCCATAATTCACCTCTTTTTGATCGCCAGAAACCAGTACCAGAGGGTAATCTTCACCACCAGCCTTTTCCACTGCCACTGGACCGCTGGTAAGTGCCCTGTTGTTTTGATTCTGTCTGTGGTGTTATGATGTAGCGTGTGTTTTGAGTATGGAATGAGAAAAAGGCATAGAGAGACGGGGTCAATGCTTTTCTTTAGAAATTGTCAGTTTTTTCGATTGCTTGCCGTCTGCTGCTTTGATTTTGTGGGGAATGGATGGATTTATTCCCCTCTTTTCTGTTTTTTCCTTACTTCTTTGGGGTTTTATGATAGATGGTCTCAAATTAATAACTTTGAAAGGAAATGTCATTCCCGATGCTTTCATCCCTGCCGCGATTTGCTGCTGTTGTTTGTGGATCGCAAAGTGGGGCATGATAAGAACATTTTCACCAACCAATCTGCTAGATAATTTTGATTCAAATGCGTCTGAGTTTAATCTGAAAGACATATGAACACAAAATGAACTTTGAAGGTAGTGATTGAAGCACATGTTGGCTTGGTAACATGTGAAGCTCCTGAGGAAAGAGATCAGTGAGTAATGTTTCGGTGCTTGAAGTTAGTGTGATTTTAAGTTTTCAGCCGTGCTTGCTCAACAGATTTAAGCTTATTTGACTATCACTTCCCTTCTGGCATTCTCTCACAGAACAGAATGACGTTTTGTAGAAGGTCCAATTTAAAGTCACAAATGATGATTTTGAGCTAGTCCTTTTCTTTTTCTTTTTTGGGGTTAAATTTTGTATTTTAACCCAACCACCAGGATGTAACTTCCATTTTTTTAAATCCGCGATGCTATTCAGAGACAAGTAAAACATTTGAAGATGTTCTGTGTCTTATTTTCTTCCAATAAGAGACATGGGAATTGCATTTGCGACAGCTCTGAATTTTTGCCTTGCCGTTGGCTATGTGATTTATTCTCACAGGTACTTGTGCACTGACTCAGAAGAAGATTGATCTGCTGACAGCATGGTGGGTGATGTTGCTTTTCCTATGTTTCAGTTCTTTACTGTTTATTCATTTTAACCTTGGCTGGTATGATCTCATAATGATTGTGCACCTCTTTTCCCACTCTTCTGAAATATGAAAATAGAATTACCTTCTTGGAGCTTTCAAGCCAGCGTGTAACATCTTAATCACATTCAATGATGGGAAAAGTCGAAAGCAGGTTAGCCGCTCTTTAAATTGCTTAGGGTGTTACCTTAAATTATTTTATTAGAATTATCAAAACTTTATTGTACAATGTTACATCTTATCACTATTTGAATGGCGTGACAAAACTTCCCATTCCTTATATTTTAGTGACCCATTTGCTTCTTGTGCGGTTGATAAATGTCTGTATCTACACATTTATATGATTTTCCTTTTCTATTTTTGTGATTTTTCTTTTGGGTTTGAAGGTTCCCTTTAAAAAAGAGAATGGTCAAACAGTCACTGCCCCACTTTTCCAAAGTCAAGAAAACATTGCTGGGAAGGTATTTTATTTGTTGGAGTCTTTAAATCAACAACTTTATGTTTGCTGTTTAATAACTCTGGTTTTTGTGTCATGTTAACCGTACTACTTGAACTTTTGTCCATGGTGCGTGTTTAGATTATAATCGAGCCCATGCAAGGAAAGAAGATTGACCACAATGGCATAAAAGTCGAACTTCTCGGACAGATAGGTTAGTCTTCAGTGAGGAATGTGTTTCTATTGTTTAAATAGATAAAGAAAAGTATGTAGAGTGTGGCATTACTTGTTCATGTACTTTATTGATCCCTGTGCTCTTCACTTCATCTATTGCTAGGCATGGGATGATAGCTTTAATCTAGTGTATGACAAGCTATGGTCATTTAGAGTTGTCAGCGGATTATTATTTGACAAACGTTTGTTTTCAGCATAAAGCTTTAACTGATGTCCTTTTTATTCAAATAACTTTACTATTTGAATCTGTATATAGATTTGACGAGAGTATTTATTTTGTGAATTATGTTAATAAAATTTGATTTAACTGTTAACACAGCTTAAATTTTGTTGTGCTGGAAATAAATCATTCATTCATAATTTAATTGAACATATGCAAATCATTCACTTGTGAAACGCAGTATGGAATCTTTCATTCTTTGTTTTTCTTGACCAGCAGTATGAAGCTGACCATAAACTTTGCTTGATTATGCAGAGATGTATTTTGACAGAGGAAACTTTTATGACTTTACTTCCCTTGGTGAGTGATTTAGTATTCTCTATCTTTGGGTGAAAAATATTTTACATGGTTTTACGCAGCTAGTTTCAGTTAGGAAGGAGGACTTTATTCTAGTTAGTATTTCATCTGTTATTCATCTTGAAGGTGAATGAATTGAGCGAAATGTCTTATAAATTTGCCTCCAATTATTTGTTATTTTCCTTGCTTCCTTTTTGCAGTACGAGAACTAGATGTTCCTGGAGATATTTATGAGAAGAAAACTTACCCATTTGAGTTTTCCACGGTTGAAATGCCATATGAGACATATAATGGGGTAAATGTCAGGCTTAGGTATAATTCCTTGAACCTCGCCTCCTTAAAATTTTATACACGTGCTTTCATATTTTGGTTATAATGGAGGTCTAAAGAGCATGTGCATCTGCTTTTTCTTTTTTTTTGACAATCTGGTACATCTCTGGTGGCCTGATGTGTTATGCTGGATAAAATTTTGTTGTACATCAGGCTAAAAGCAATGTTGAAGGAATCTAATTTCACCATGCATAATAAGTAATTATGGTATGGTACCATTGTATACCACCGGGTGTCAATTTTCAACATGTATTCTGGTTTACTTTTACCTTAGTGTCATGGCTTTGAAATTGAGTTGTTGCATCAATGTTAGTTTTTTTTTCATTTCTCAAAGTTTTGCCTTAACATTAATAGGCATTCCATTAATTAGCTGCTTGCATGCCTTTTGTGGGCCCATAAATGTTTCTGAATGTCAAAGGTTGGATGCAATTTAATGTCCCTCCTGCTTAGTAAGGAAAAAGAACAAGTTTGTGCAAATACGATTGGTGATTGAAACATATATAAAGAGAATGATGAGATGAAACTTGAATATGAGATGCTGTGACCCATTTGTACATTTACATTTTTCAGGTATGTTTTGAAAGTGACCATCAGTCGTGGTTATGCAGGAAGCATAATGGAGTACCAGGATTTTGTGGTAGGACGTCTTTTTGTAAAATAAAACTTTTCCATGATCCCATTTCATCTACTCAAGTTGAGATTGATTTTCGTTGATTAGGTCCGCAACTATTCTCCACCTCCGGCAATTAACAATAGCATCAAGGTGAGATCATGACGTTTGAATTTCCAAATTGTTTTGCTTAATTAGATCTGATGGAGGAAATCCATCAGAACCCCTTCATTGTTGGCATGTTTACTGAGTGAATAGCAGCAAGTGCTACCAATTCATTCTCCAAACTCTTCTTTATTCAAACAGAATAATAATCCTAACCCATTGGAATTCATTTGAAGTAAAGTTGGTCATTGGTCTGTTGTCTTAAATCTTGCTAAAATTGCCGGTCTTTTATTTTCAAATCTTATTGAGGTTATGCATGGTGCTTTTGCTATCATGTGAACTTTCTTTTCCTTTATTCTCTGAAAATTTGATGGCTGCGTTTGTTTCTTCAGTATATTTTGCTTAAAATTAACGCATTATACCTGGGTACAGATGGAAGTTGGAATTGAAGATTGCCTACACATTGAATTTGAATACAACAAAAGCAAGTAAGTTAAATGCTTTCATCTGTGATACAAAAAGCAGACTAGATAGGTCAGTTTGACAAGTTAAACTGGGAACTTCAAAATAAGCTGTTTGGTCCAAATTTATAAGCATTGTCAGATTGTTAAATTCAACTGAATATATACTGGATGAATTCATCTTGAACTTGGTGAAATGTGTGTACGGGCTGGGGTTCTTACGACCAGTCCTGTAGTGGTAGCATTAACGTTGCGTATTCACCATTGTGTCACAACTTGTGGAAGAACAGGGGAAAAGTGGTTCGAAGCATGCAAGACATCTGCCAACTGGTTCAATTGGTTTGGGTGTTAATAATCATAAATTAGTTATAAAAGAGTATAAATGATAAAATGACTCTTCTGAATTTTGTTAGTTTATTGGGTATGAAAAAGTTAAGTTACATAAAAGTTAAAATTGTGAATTTTTTGTCATTGTATTTATACTTGAGAGGCTGCCTTTTGTGGCTACTTTTCCATCTTCAGTACTGGCTGTTGTTTTTATAGATGGAGAGTAGTTACAGCTTACATAAACCCATCTTATTTGGTTGGTAGCCATTTAAAAGATATTTTTCTCAGAGATAAAAAGCCTCCTCTGGGATGATATTCACGTTCTGGAAAAGAATCTTGAACTCATTTGCTTATACCTGAAAGTTAAAAGGAATTGTAAACACGGATTCATCTTGTAAATTCAGGTATCATCTGAAAGATGTCATCATTGGCAAGATATATTTTCTCCTGGTAAGAATCAAGATAAAAAATATGGACCTTGAGATTAGGCGTCGGGAATCAACAGGTTCAGGGGCCAACACCCATGTTGAGACAGAAACATTGGCGAAATTTGAGTTGATGGATGGTGCTCCTGTCCGAGGTATGTTGAGGAGAATACTACTGGCTTCTGCTCACATTTTCCTGTGATTAGTTCTCCATTGTATTTAAGAGAAATTTTTTACCCCAGATATTGATTAGACCCTCACAAAAGACATTTATTTTCTTAATAGATGCACAAATTAGTTATACACAACATCTGTTGATAATAACTGTTATACCTGGAGAAACACACACTGGAGTGGATTATAATGAATAACCAATTTGAAAAATTGATTACAGCTAGAAGACCATGTAATATCCTAGAGCAACCATTAGTTTCCGAAATAAATTACTGTTAGTTTTTTCTTTTTAAATACTGCTTAGTACAGGCCAATTTAAGCAGTGGCTCTGATTTTTATTTTTGCAGGTGAGTCAATACCGATTAGACTGTTCCTTAGTCCCTACGAGCTGACACCAACTCATCGCAACATTAATAACAAATTCAGTGTGAAGTACTTCTTAAATCTGGTGTTGGTTGATGAAGAGGACAGGCGATACTTCAAGCAGCAGGAAATCACAATGTATAGGCTGCAAGAAGAAACTTCCTGATTGATCATCGTACAGGAATGGGTTATAGGCGTAACGAGCATAGAAGTAACGAACACTATCATGAACTACGAAGAGCTCTGAGATTTAGCGGACGTTCACTTGAAACCCTTTTTCGGGGGTACAAAGTCTGGTTTTCTAGCTGACTAAAACATCTGCAAATTATATGTACATTGGTTGGCAGATCAATCATCCGTCTCTTGATGCAGTTTTGGAACATTTGGGCATACATTCCATTAAAACAAGTTATCTCTTATTTGTGCTCTAAAGTGTGTTGTGACCAATATTATATACTTTTTAGGTTTCTTCTACTCCTCCCGGTCCAATTGATGTTATTATACACTGATTCACGGTGTGATGTTTCATTGTTTTGTACTCGACTTCTGTCACTAAGAATCATCCGTGCCTTCCGCATTCCTCTTTTCTTCCCCACTTTTTACTGTGATAAATGAAGGGTGGTTTGGTATCTGGTTTGTTTGATCGTGTATTCTTACTGTACTGGATCCTTTTTACCAAAAATAAATAAAATAAATAAAGACGTTATTTCCATAGGTAAAACGCTTTGTCTGTGCCACTTTATTTTCTGACTTTATTCTGATAACAGAAAATAAAAGCCGATGAAGACAACAACAGGACTAATGGCTTTAAGTTAAAAGAGTAAAATATTACTTATATTTAACTATTAGTCATTTACACATGCTCTTACAGTACACAATTTGAACCATACCCCTTATACGTTGCCTATATCTGGATCCAAGCTCGTTTGCCCATTTCTTTGAAAGCTCTTAACTGACCATCCAATTAGACCGCATCATTATTGAGGAATTCATGTTTATCCTAGCCACACGCGAGCCAATATGATGTAAAAATTCTAGTCAACAAGTGTGCTGAAATACCTCTTTTAGTTTTATAAGTCGAGCGATATTTCGTTTTTCTGTTTTTTATCAACTTTGAAAATGCACATATTAACTGAGGTCAAAAAGACAATTCATATCACTAGAGCGCTGAAATCCTCCCACAGCTCTGTCATCATCACAGTGTAATTTACGTCGTAAAATTTATACACAGATTGTAATTTAAGGAAAAAGATGATTTACTAGAAGCTGAGAAATTCAGACAGAACCAAAATGAGATGCTTTCCCGCCAATTAAGGAGACAGGGTTGCTCTCTCTCTCTCACGCACACACACAACTCTTTAGCCTATACGTAGTATAGCAGTAGTTTGAATCTAATACCTCTTAGTAACAAAAAGAATACTACAAAGAAACCTGTGAAGTAGTAAATGAAAGACGTTGGTATCTATCTTCCTTGAACAAGGCCACTGAATACTTGGCTGTTCCCTGCTAGAGTTGCTTCCCACTCAATAGAAGACAGGAGGATCTGTGAGAGCGAAATCACAACTTGTTTCATATCAGGTCTTAAGATGGGATCATCATCCACGCATTGCTTTGCCAGCATGGCCATCTATGCACAGAAACACATCAAGAAGAGTAAGTCACTAGTACAATAGAATCTATTGCACATTACTGTACCTTGAGGTGTGATTTTCAAATAAATGGAATTAGTTGAGTTCATCACTCACAAATATACCAATATTCTCTTTTCCTCCTATTGGAAGTAATCCTATTCGAGACATTATCGGACAATAAATGTGGACACCTCTCCCCTTTGATTCACTTCGTTGTGGGATATTAACCCCTTCTATCAGACCCAATCCCCGTTGATCACAAATACACCAATATTTGAATGGAAAAAATAAGATTTGGACCTTTTTTTTTGTCCTCTGGATTGACAATATTAGACAGCCATATGGTATGGATTCCTCTGTGTGTGTTTTGGACAGATATGGATTAATATTCTGGCGTTGGAAACTAACTTACCTTAAATACACAATCATGGGGATACAGGTCCATCATATTAGGATCAATATGAGTTCTCAAACTAGACATGCTCATTGAGTCAGGTGAGTTCCTAAGAGCTGCCAACATCTGCAGTTTCACAAATATGAAGGCAATATCTCATAAAGCAATTGCAACAGTACAAAACCACCACATGCCATCATAAATGAAATATGAAGGTGCAAAAACAATACACAGAACAAAGAATACTTGCGTGAAAATAATGCAGCGCATCAAAAGTTACAGCTAAGTACTTAACAATTTCTCACCGCTGCAAATATGTTGTTTACGTTTATAATCGTGCATTCGTAATCATTTAGCAAATAAACACTTCATTAAGGCAACTATCAATTGACGAATAACCTAACTCTTGATCCTTGAAGCCTCCATGTTCATATATTCAAGAATCCTATTCAACAGAAGTCTCCGTTATTCTATAAAATCACACAATACTATGTTCGTTCTAAGATCTGAAACTGTACTACTGACTACAAAAATTCCATGAGAACTTTTGACTTCTTTGGTGAAGCAATGTGCAAATGTAAGAGTATGAGATTCTGCCACACGTATCGCCAGATTCAGAATCGTGTCTTGTGAGAAAAACAGAACTTACAATAGATACAAGAGAACGTCTCTCAGGATTTTTTGACCTTGTGCCTTCTGTCCGAATAGTGGCCTCCTTCCCTGATATTATCTCAAGAAGAACAATTCCAAATGCATAGACATCACTTTTGGTCGTTGCACGGCCATCACTCAAGTATCTGTTCAACATCATCAATAACAAAAGTATTCTTTTTATTTTCTACCTTCTTGCTTATGCGAGAAGAAGAGTTTGAACTTTGAAGAGTTGTTTAATCTGAAAAGGAATATTTCTTACTCCGGTGCAAGATAACCATATGTGCCAACAACTTTGGTAGCAGTAATTTCTTCTTCATTTGCTTTCCCAACAAGTTTTGCTAAACCAAAATCTGAAATCTAGAGAGAAGGAAATTTGTCACAACATAAGAAACTTGTAAAAATTTAAAAATCTGAAATTGATTTAATAAAGTTTAGATGTGTACTATATACTTTTGCTCTAAAGGAAGCATCCAGTAAGATGTTGCTTGTCTTGATATCTCTATGGACATAATTGGTTTTGGTGTGCTCATGTATGTACTCAACACCCCTAGCAGCATCAAGTGCTATCTGGACCCTCATGATCCAAGATAGTGGGGAAGAACCTATAAGCAAGACAAAATTTTCTTACAAACAAGATGAAATCTAGGCATGAACTCAGAAGCATTAGTTTTACACTTAAGTGATGGTTGATATTTTCCAAACCAGTGCATAATCTTACCCTTAGTCAGTGGATCATGCAAATGGCTTCCAAGTGAACCCTTCTGGGCGTATTCATAAATAAGGAAAAGCTCATCATGACTAGTAGCATAGCCGATCAATTCTACCTTGAAAAAATTAACATAAAAGAAAAGGACTCAAAACATTTGTAGTGATGCAAGAAATTAGCTGCAAAATTAAATCATACAATATACATCAATCCAAAAAAACATTTACCAGATTTGCATGATGAGCCTTGCCCAGGACCTTCATCTCTGACAAGAATTCTTTAGTTTTTGTAGCAGTCATTCTTTTAATAGCAACCTCCTAAGAGGATTAAAATAAAATGAAGAATGGTATGAGAAATATGCGTGCTAGTACAAGAGCAGGCTCGAATTGGACAACTACAAACCTGGTCACGAAGGAAGCCATAATAAACAGAACCATAAATACCATGCCCAAGTAGATTTGAATCAGAGAAACCATCAGTTGCAGAAAAAATCTCTTCATACGTGAAAACAACAGGGTTCTCCACTTCAAAGACATCAATTCCCAAAGCTGAAACAATAAATATAACTTAATTGCGTGCAATTTGAATTTTAGAGAATCAGTTATAGTCTTTTGTGCAGACAGGAAGAATAGAACCAGTTTTAACATGGAAAAGCCGGATACCAATGAAATTTCGTAATAGGACCACATAATTTACCTATTATCTAGAAGCCCTAATACAGACCCGCATAATCTGACTGCTAAGTTTTAAACAACGCTCAACATAGACGCACTTGGGAATGGGGGTTGATTATCAGTTTGATACTATCTCTTGCAAAACTCAAGTACCCCAAAAGTATGGTTTCGAACCAATTCCACCCTTCCAGTGATATCTGAGAATTAAATGTTCAACGAAGCTGAAACAAAAGTTATTAATTTGGTGACACCAATTTTCCAAGACCAAAATAAGGTTTTCGTTTTGTGTTGTTCTCTTTTAAATACGGTCACTCTTACTTGTCGTGAGAACAAAACAATAAAGAACTTAGATCTAATAGTAGGTTAATTACTTGAAACTTTGGGGGCCGTGACCTGCTTGTTGCTGGATTCACGATCATATTGCCTTTGTTCCACAGGTTTTCCCTGTATGTACCTTCCTGAACCACAGCAAAAGCTTGGATTTTGAAGGATATGAAATTTGTGAGGGATCTTTCCTTCATCATCTTTTTCATGACTTATCCTTGCTTCAGCAAAAGAATTGGAGGATCTCACACAGAAATAAAGAATTATGCTTAATATTATCAGGGCAAGACCAATCCCTAGACCCCCAACAATCCATACGTAGGGTGCATGAGCATGACTGACTTGGCTAGCTGCAAAAGTAAGTCATATATAAGTGCATGTTTTAATTGTTGGCTTTTCTTCAATAAAAACATTGAGATATGCACAAGGATTTTCATGGATGTCAGGATGCTGCATGAAGAACTTTGCCCTGCGTCGGAGGATTTGAAGCTAAGCAATAGGTATCAGCATAATAATCTCCTTTAGGATTTGAATTGTAAAATATCAGCTTAAACAAAGAGTACAGCAAAGAAGAATGTAAGCTGCAACCAAATGAAAGTTTCGATTTCTACTAATTTGTATACACACATACCCAGGTAAAAATAAAAGGACAAATAATACTCCAATGTTCAAGAGATATGTTGATCCATACCAGAAACGTTTTCAATAGAAGGGGCAGGAACAGGAGCTGCAGAAGTATCATTCTTTTGCACATATGGCTCACCAGGAACTGCAATGCATTGAAAAATAATAATAAAAGATCATATCATAATTGATGAATAAACATTAAAGTGAACTGACAACTCGCTGATATCATTTATACACGTAAAACCCACTGGCAGCTTAAAAGAAAACGGATTAAAGAAGAAATACACAGACTAACCCGAATTAAGAGGTATATAATAGAGGGAACCCACGGTGATATTATCAGGATTGTTGATGCCATTTACTGTCTCTATATTATCCATACTAACTCCAAACCGACTCGCAAGAGATTCAACGCTATCACCTTCTCTAACCACATAACTCATCATATAGTTCCAGGGTCCACTGGAGCAACCACAAAACAATTTCAATGTTATAACGGCGCCTTTTTCTGCCCTCCTCGTGGTTTTGGGCAAGAAACCAAGCCCATCATAGGCCTTTATCACCAAATCATGCACCAACGCTTCATTAGATTTTACAGTATAAGTGGTTCTGGATACGTATTTTTTTGTATCAGCGGCACACGAACAGTTCTTTTTGATAAATAAGTAGTCCCGACCGTTGCCTTCAACAGTAATGTCTTTAGGCAATACATCAAACATGCTCTGAACCAAGGCTAAGGTTTGATTTGGTTGAGGCTTAAAAGCCAAGAAAGAAGTGCAGACGCGGGCTGTGTCCTTACAATCCAAGGGTGTGTTATACGAAGAAAGGGATTGGAGGTGAAGGAGGAAGAGAAATAAGTGGAGCAAATACAAGTGAGGTCTCCACAAAAAATTCATAATTTAAAATCAAGATACTAGCCTATTAAGTGTCTAAATGATCAAAGAAAAAAAAGTAGAATCACAGTGAACTTGAGAGATGGAAAAGAAGTTTGGTCCAAAGAAAATTGACCAAGGTGAAGGAAAATGAAACTAAAAAGGAAGAAACTTGATCCAAGTCAAATAAAATTTCGATTCAATGAAAACCATCGGAATCCCAAAGTCAGCAAAAAGCTTGAAACAATACAAATTTGATAAAGACTTGCAGCTCTAGAACAAACAAAACTCTTCCTTTTCTTCAACAATTTGATGAATGCTGATACATGAAAAAATACTGAACAAATTACACACAGAAATAGTAAAGATATGGTAAAAGGGGCATATGGAGAAGTGGTAGGAAATGGGTTTCTGCTAAATTTAGCAAGCAAGACGGAAGGAAGAAGAAAGGAATAAAGCGACTTGAAAACAGAGCATTTGATTTCACGTTATACACAGACTAAGCAATACTGCTTACTGAAAAGTGAGAAACAGTGACAAAAGAAAGCAACCTTCGAGAGAGCAAGACTTGGGGGAGCCACCCACCTGGTACCACTAGAGTGGCAGATATTTAGATTTTTGAAGGATATTTGTTTCCTCTTAGATTAAAGCACCACTCGTTCCGCTGAAAACACGAAATATCGCTCTTGTTTATCTACCATAGCAAGCACGTCAAATGAATTACTTTGTTTCGAAAAAACTGAAGTAAACGTTGAATTTAATCTTGGGGAATGAAACTGTACAATTCTAGTCTTTATATTTTAGCGCGAACAACTGTTAGAGGCATGAACTATCATCTGGACGTTTCACAATTGATAAACCGTCTTTCTCCTGTACATGTCAGATGAAGGGAACATTTTGTGTTTTACCCATAATTCATGAATTTTCGTGAAGGAAAATATAAATGGAAGATTAGAGAGAGAGAGAGAGAGAGAGAGGGTGGGGATGGAGTTCGGTGAAATGGAGGGAAGCAAAGAGCTGGCAATTGGCGAGGGACGGGGACAGGTTGGTGGGGCCTACAAAAAAGTGCTTCACAAAAAATGAAGCAAGGGAAAAAAAAAAAGAAAAAAAGAAAAGAAAACTTGCCGAGTTAATTCGATGGGATAAAGATAATTTTATTAGATTAGATTTAAGATCTTATTATTAGGATATAATTTAGATTATTATGTTAAAATTATTTTAATTTATTATTTTTTTATTATTTTAAAACTCTGATTAGGATTAGTATTTATTATTATTACTATTATTATTTATTTTATAAATATTATTAGGATTGTCAGTTATAATGAATTTTAGATATTGATTGAATCATTCAAATTACAGTTTTTCTTTCAATTCTCCTTCTACATTTCTCAGTCTTGTCTAGGGAATGTTTGGCAACCCTCAAAAATATTTCTAAGAAGTATTTTTTTTATAAAATGAGATAAATTGTTCTATATATTTATTTCATAAACCGTAAAAATATTTTTAAAATCATAATTTAGTTTTCCTTTAAACATTCCCAATTCTCCAATTCTCTTATGCTTTCTCTGCTCTGATATTTATTTCTTTTCTTTTTTGGTTTTACATCACTTTTCCGTGGCACACTGGTACTTCCACGAGTCTGAGACAGCCGGGTCTTAAATATCAGATTTAATTAGTACCACTTAATAAATTCGTTGACTCTTCAACTCGAAAATTTAATGAAAATTTTCCACAATCGCCACTAGCCGCACCTGCCCCGGAGACAGCTGTGCAAGATATACGACGCACAACTATTGAGCCCCCACAAATCAACCAAACTTGCTAATCACTGGACCGAGTTAGTTAATTTAAATAGCTTTGGAAAACTAAATTTAAAATACTTGAATTATATATTAATTTAGAAACTAGATAAATTAGTTTTTAAAATAAATACTTCTTTATATTTAAGATTAAAATTAACTTCCTAACTAATTCTTATGTTTAAAACTGAAAGGAAAAAAATTCAGAGGATTTTTTTATTTTTTTATTGGGTTAAGGTATATCAGCATCTGACTTATTTTTACATCTGAACCCAATATTTTAAAATATTTTACGATATATTCAACACCTTGAAGTTTTATTTTTGTGTGTCTAAGACTATAAATTATATTTTGGTGCGTGAAATGTTTTTTATGTGCATCCAATACTCTAAGAGTCTATTTGGATCAGCAATTAAAAAAGTAGTTTATTGAAAAAGTGAAATTAGGTAAAAATTAGATTGGATAAGCTGAATTGTGTTTAGATTAGAATTCAGAAAAGCTAGTTTGCAAAAGTGAAATTGGTAAAAAGTTATTTGGATTATAGTTAAGTAAAAATAAATTTGGTTGTAAAATGACCAAAATGGGTATGAGTTTTAATAAATAATGAAACATAATTAAAAAAATGATTTCACATAATACAATAAAATTAAAATAATTTAATATGAAGAAGTCAAATTAGTGAGTGAAATAAATTTTAAAATTTTAAAAAAATCATTAAAAAATATTTTAAATATAAAGGGAAACATGAAAACATAAAAGTATAGTTGTAGAAGCACATTTAAGAATAAAAATATATTTCTAACTTATTTATTACTTTCAACTAATTTTAACTGATTTTTTGTTATCTACAAATTAGTTATTTGAGGCTTATAATAAGAACCAAAGGAGGTAATAAATTTCTTAATTTTTTCTCTCTCCATGTTTCAAAAGCTAGAAGTCATAAGCTGTTAATTTTAGCTTATAGCTTATTGTAGATTTTCATACAAAAACCAGATTGCCCAATCGCTCAACCAAATAGTATCAAAATTTGCAATCAGGCTTTTCAGGCTTATAAGCCACTTATTAGCCCTGAAACGTTAAGCCAAACAGGTTCTAAATTACTTTTCAGTGTAATTTTATGCCTAATAATTTAATGCGCATGATACACTAGAAAAATAATGTAAAATGCTGAACGCACCCTAAAAAAAAAACTTAAGAGTACTAAGTACATTAGAAAATATTTCAAGATACTAGATACATTTTAAAAATATTTTAAGCTATTAGATGTCACCTTTCTAATTTTGAATGAAACATTTTTGAAAGTAGTAATCATGATTGAGGAGCGTGTGATGCTAAGCCTAATCAAACCTAATATTTTGGATGACAATACAAAAGGAGGAGCCCCATCTTACGTGGGTTATTGCACGTGAATTTTGATTCCCAATATCATCAAGCACCGTCACAATCCATCAGCTTGTCTGTATTATGAATATATAAAACATTATCCCTTCCTTTTCAATTTTATAAGTAACTTTCACTATTTTTACTATCTATTACTCCCTCCGTTTCTTATTATAAGAGACGAATAACCGAATTACATTGATCAAAAAAACAGTTAAAATTAGTTAAGAACAATTAATATGTAAAAAGTATAATTTTTTTTCCAAAAATACCCTCATTAATAAGGAGAGAGAGCATGAGAGAGAACAATAGTAAATTCTTAAAAGAAAGAGAAGTGGAAAGGAGAGAGAGTGTTAGTTGGAGACAATAAATATGGGTAAAATAGGAAATTAACACAAAAAAGTAGAGACAACTTTTAAGTGTCTCTTATATTTAGAAACATACTATAAGCATCAAATGTCTCTTATAATAAGGAACGGAGGGAGTATTTCTCTACTACTTCATTATCTTTCTACTGTCTATTTAATTTTGTAACTCACTTTCACTCACATTTATGAGATTGATTATCCATTATTTCTCATTTGAAAACAAGTATAACCTATATGTAAGAATATACCTGTAAATAGAACATATCATTGTGTTGTGAGACAAATGAAGAAATATAATTCTCATTTTTTTTGTCTTCATCTTTTCTACTATACTTTTGCTGTTTCATTTCATAAGAAAACCATTACTATTAATAATTAATATTGATGGCATAAGATTTACATTAAAAAATAGTTCAAGTCGCAAAATATAAAACCTCAGTTCTCCTTATTTCCTTCGTTAATTTTCACGCATTTTGTCTTCTACCTGTAATTCTCTCTCTTCCTCCAGGGGTATTCTAGAAAATTGACATACAATTTTTGCAAAATCATGACAAATAATTAATTTTTTAAAAAAAATTTATGAATTAGTTAACTAGTAGGAGAAGAAATATTAATTAACCTGGTTAGGTGGGAAAAAAAACTGTGATTGGAAATCATGCTACCAGAGTTTTGATGTTTGGTAAGAAGATGCTGGCAAGAGTGAGGTAGGATTTGACAAAGGTACAGAGTACATGGCTTTTTACAAAGCTGAAGTCTCTGCGGGACAAGTAATCTGAGCAGGAAGCAAAATAGGTCCCCCCCCCCCCCCAAAAAAAAAAACACTTCCTTCCTTCTTTGTGTATCGAAATTGCTTTGCAAGTTGGACTCACACACGCGTAGAAGAGTTTAGATGAAGCTTTTATGGTGACATTAAATGAAACATCTATATTAGGAATATTTCTTGTTAATTACCACCGGCCACCTTTCTTTCACGATCGTGGGCTTCTTAAATGACCCTGAAGAGAGTTTAGCCTAAATCCAAGGTGTTCAATTAAACACCAAGTCCAATGGCAATTTTGGGTCTGTGCACCTCAGACCCAAAATGATTCTCAATCAATTCAAATGTTAAGACCCGCAAAACACAAGTATTTGTGTTGGTTTCTATTTTCTACCATAAGCATGAAGAATGAGTTTGAAGATAGACTCTTTTAATCTTAGAAGCAGTATTTCTTACTCCGGTGCAAGGTGACCATAAGTGCCAATGATTTTGGTGGCATTAATATCTTCTTCATTTGCTTTCCCAACAAGTTTTGCTAACAATCAAGAGCGAAGGGAATATATGGCCACTGAAAGCACGTTACACACACATACATGTATGTATGTATGAAAATGATTTAATGAACATAATGGGTTTTGGTGTGCTCATCTAGGTACCTCAAGGCCCCTAGCAATATACATGGACCCTCTTGATCATAAGAGAACAAAAGATAGATCATGTGAATGGCTTTCTAGTTTGTTTGGTCGCTAATACTCCTCTGGTCCTAAATATAAGACCCTTATACACACTAAAAAAAAAGTCTTATATTTAGGATTGGAGGAGTATTATGCAATCATGTGTATTGATGCATAAACTCACCCCTCATTGAATGGCTTTCTAGTGAGCTCTTCTGATTAGATCGAAAGGGATCGGTTCAAACCCAGTCAATCGAGCAAAACTAGTCATAGATAGTCTCGCTTGACTTGGGTATATTTTTAGACCAGACCACGGGTTAGATCCTAACCCTATCTGATATGACCATTGTGCATCATATTGCAAAATTAGCAACACCTCTAAAGTATTATTAAAGGCACCACAATCCACAAAGAAAAAGTTGCACTTTACTACCCAAAGCGCTACTATTGCTACCATTTTCTCAGTAAAGAGGCAGCGCTTTGTTAATGGGCGACTCTTCCTAACTATGATGTAATGTCCAGAACCAATATCATTTTTGCAAGAGCTTGGTTTCATTTCCCCACCCCTTACTAAATGCCATTTTCCAGAACTCCCTGTGCTTAACTCAGTACATATTCAACGTTTTCATATGTGGTATTAGTGGGCTTCTGAAATGACCATGAAGTATGTGTGGCCCAAATGTTAGTAACAAAGCCCAATGGGAATTGAGGATCTAGATGGCATGGGCCCAGAAAGGATCTCAACAAATTTAAATAGGCTCTCTTTTTTTGGGACCTAAAAACAAAATCATCTGCCAACCAAAAAAAAAAAACTTTCAAGGTGCCAAAATTTTTTAATAATAATAAAACAAGAA